TTGAAGGAATAAGGGACCTGGTACAATGGATTCAATAGCTTTGTTGAATGCGGCGATGGCTTCTTCTCTAGCTCTGCGATGACTGTTGGGTCTGAGTACCTGACCGGTTGTCTCAGAAGTGTCCCTCGCGGTGGGCTCCAGTTGAAGGTGAGGAATCTTGACTATAGGTGAAATGCTAAAGCTATGGGGGGTTCTACAGTAAGACCAGGATACGAGAATACGACTTGACCCAAAGGACAGCTACTGAGAGAAGTTCCTCTTTAATGTAATGGAGGGAGTCTTTGTCAACTAGACGGGTGGTAACAGGCGCGCGAAGGCATGAGAAGATAATGCGCGCGTAGGCGCGAGTGAGCGATGCGAAGGCGCGCAAAGGGCGTGTGCAAGCGAAAGATGCAAGGGGCGCGCGCGTATGCGGAAGTGTGCTTTTGAGCGATGGGGGAGAGTGTTCAAGTATAGCAGATGCGCGAGTGATGGTAGAATAGTGAAGTATAATCGGATTTCAAGTACTAAGGTGCACTTATACAATTTGCAGTATACTCAGATAAGGGAGAAGGGAAGGAACCCCATTAAAAGGAACTTTCCCTCTATTTAAGAAGGGAGATTACGCTATGCAGTGCGCTTCCGAGCGTGGTACCGAACCGAGTAACCATATCAACTCTAAATATATTCTAAAGCCTATGATAGACTTTCTGTATGTAAGCGTGGAGATCGGACCAAAGGTACGTCAATTCAGTGAAAGGGATAAGAATAACGCACCAGTAAATCAGCGAGGACATAGGACGGACAGACGGACAAGGGTACGAAGGCCTAAGGGGAGGCGCACGAGCGCGCGCGAAACGCGCGAGTGCGTGTAAGGCGCGCGAACGAGGCACGTACATAGGGCGCGCGCGTGAGAGCGCGTATGACTGATCCTTCGGATAAGAGCTGGAACATGTAGGGAATTATGTGGGTAATAGGGCCGTATATTCCGCATTGAGAGGCGCGAGTCTCTACACCAGATCCATGGTGAAACATTGGAGCCTGAAGTCTGAGAAAGTGAGCCATCGTGAGACTTTGGACTTGTCGTTCAGAATCAATATTGCAAAGCACGTGACCAAGTCAGCTCAACAACTTCAAGTCATTCTGTGATATCATCGTCCTCAGACTCCTGCAAGCCATTGACTCATCCCATTTGTGAGTCCCATAATTTTTATTATTGAAGCAGAGCTAATTTGCAAATCACAACCAGGGGTGGTTCTGCACCATAACATCCTCCTGTTATAGAGATGCTCACAGTATCATTGTTGTGTATGACGTGACTGATAACAGGCAAGTCATTTCACTTTCCTCCCATTTCACCTTCCTTTCCCTATGAACGACTCATCTGACGAAAAATTCACAGCCTTGTATGAAAAACTTTATCCTTCCACACCATAACGTCCTCATACTATAGAGGTGCTCATGGTATCATTGTTCTGTATGATGTTACTGATAACTGGTGAGTCATTTCACTTCCCTCCCATTTTACCCTTTCTTTTCACTGCAAATGACTCATCTTATGAAAAATTTGCCGCCTCGTATGAAAAACTTCATTTCCCTCCATCTTTCCTCGCTCCTACTACTATAGAAGTGCTCACAGTATCATTGTTTTTTACAGTACTTGATAGGTACTACTGCCAAAGCCTCAATCAACCCTCCAGCCACTTGAATCGACTTGCCCTGCACATCCCATCATAAACAATAAATTTGTTGACGGTGATAGTATGTTTTCATTGCTCTGTTATTTAAATGGTTGTTTATATTTCACCGCTTTTTATTTACAGTCATACAATATTGTGAGGATGGGGGCAAACATGTCGTTTGCATGGTGTGCCCTCACAAAGCAGGTGTCTTGCGCACAATGGCCATCCGACATGTCAAAAAGCACATTGCCCAGAGCATGTATCAATGGTTCTCTGAAAGGTTTGTCAAGAAACAATAGGCCACTGCTCCCATACCACAACTTGAGAATTCACGACCTAAGAAAGCCGGGGCCCCCATCTTCGCCTCAACAAACACCAAACCCACTGTGTCTCCCCACGATTCCAACAACCCATACATGGATGCAGACATGCCTGATGTAGACATGGAGGTCCCACTATCTGAGCTTTTGAATCATATCGCAGGTGATCGGACACCTGAGTTCGACAGAGTGCATCTGGACCTATTTGCCAAGCTCCAAGCAAGTCTTACCTGTGGGGAAATTCCTTTTTCAACACCTCTCGCCCCCATAAATGACAAGCGTGAGCTCTTCGACGATTGTACGCCTGATTTCAGCATTGAAGTTCCTGGTGAGTGTGATATTTGATCCGTGCTCTATAACAATGCACTTAACGAAGTTCACAGATGATGGCAAGTACGATACAACAGGCTCCGATGTTATTGCCTCTCAAGATAGTCCAACATACCCATGGACGTCCAAAGCAGTGAGTTTTTTCTCCATATGAGTTGCAAACTCGATGCTCATAGCATCAAGAACTTTATCATGTCGCTTCTTTTTAGTTCTCCCGCCACCCATTTTCTGATGGACAGAAAAAGGCCATCATCAATTGGGCTAGAGAGCTCAGTGCTCGGGATGTTCCCTCATTTGGCGCTGTCAAGAAAGTCCAGAAACACATCGACCGTCTCATTGGTGATCCAACCAAGAAGGTCTTGGCTCGCTCGGGGGACATCAACAATATTGCAGAATCAATTGCTAGGGTTTGTCTGCTATGTTACCTAGGTGTATATGATACTGACACAATATCTCAGGACTATGCAAACCCGCTCACATGATTCACGATGCAAGATTACCCTGAAGATGGAGGTGATGGAATGTCACAGGTGTTTAATGGCACGAAGATGCTACTTGATCTCCCATCACCGCCAGCAGTTCAGGTTGATGGCACGATATATTTTGTCAATGAGCTACTGCAAGAATCATCTAAGGCATACTTTATCCCAGAGTGCTTCTTTCTTGGATCGTGTCCTTCCGCTAATGAAGTTGAACCTGGAGCTCAGTCAAATGCGAAAATTCAGTATGCCCTTGGTCAAGCTGTTCAACAGACCAACATATGTTATTTGATACTAAACTTATGACTTTGTGCTGATCACTGGCACGTAAATTAGGCTGGATTCATTGTCAACGATGAACAAGAGATTCTACCTACTTCGGTGTTTGTGCGATCATTCAAAGATATTGCTGCAACATCTGGTGAGTTTGAATGTGGCCTCACAGGTATGTTCTATCTCAACTGTACCGGTGGTGACTGCGGGACTTAATCACAAAACAGCTTCTTCAGCTAAATTTGCATCGCTTACACCCAATCTGTTGCGCGAGAAGTCCAATGGTCGAATGGTATATGCCATCCCACTCATTATTTTCATGGACGACGTGTCGGGCAATGTGTTAAAGCAGTGGAATAAGCATCACGCCATTTATATATCCAATGCCAACTTGCCGTGTGAGATGCTCGAGAAAGAGTTTTTTGTACGATTTGTCACATCATCACCTCACACTGCACCAATGGAACTCATGCGAGCAATGAAAGAGTCTATCTGGTACATGCATCCTTTTTGTCATCTAGCTTATACTCAGTCAGTAGTCGTGATTCATAGTGTTGCAGCTGAATCTGGCATTGTTGTGTGGGACTGCAAGGACAATCAAGAAGTGATGCTTATTCCATATGCATTGTTCGTCACTGGTGACAATCCCATGCAGGCCGAAGAGTGCAGCCATGCAGGGCTGAATTGTAATTATTATTGCAGGACGTGCGAGGTTGGTGGCATGAAGGAATATAAAGAATCCGAGGCTGGATATAACAGCATATTCAATGTTTGTAAGTCTGTTTCGCATTTTACAATTGCTGATTTTGCGTTTGTAGTCAGGCAATACCCGAATGCCGGAGGAGACTTCGAATGTGATCCGACAGCAATTCGAGACTGCAATACTTTCAGGTGCCTCGGAGAAGGTGAAGAATTCTATGTCGTCGACTGGTATTTGTGATATGGCTTCAGCCTCCATTCTCAACACACTGCTGGAGCTTGGCAAAAAACTCAGGAAACGCATAGCAGGTTCTCTGGCACTACCTGAAAACGAAGTCAGGATCGCGCTCGAGAAAGAGTTTGAGCAGCTCTTGCAAGGCAGAAGGCTCGATGATGCTATCAATCCCTTACTGAGAATGCATGGTAAGTCTTTTTGAAAATGATGTAGATCTTGCATTCATGTTCACAACAGCATTCAATGTTCACATGGATATGCCGATGTAGGGATTCATTTCTGGCTGGGCTTGCAGAGACTGTTTTTACCTTAGTGTTATGTTTGCACTTTTGTAGCTTACATAATCAAGTTACCTTTTCACCAGTTCTACTATGAGTCTGAGTATTCAGCAAGTTTCTATCATATTTCCTCTTCTCTGAGCCTTGAGCCTGGTCCAGAAACCCTTTAGGGTCGAATAGCAGCTAGGTTCTGCAAGACCCAACATTGTTCAGACTCACCATCTGAATTGTTGTACCTTCACCGACTGAAATTCTCCATACAGTACTGCTTGGCATCGTTAAATACTTCTGGGGGCAGACAGTGTTTCTCCTCGAGAAATCTAAGCTCCTGCATCTCTTCCAGAACCGCCTTGAGACCGTCAATAAGGATGCGCTAAATTCTCCTTGCCTCAATGCCGACTACATCTGCCACTACAAAGGCAGCTTGATCAGCAAGCATTTCAAGAGTCTGGCGCAAGTAATGCCATTCCTCATTTACAACCTTGTCCCACTGATGGTCCTCGATGGTTGGACAGTTATGGGCGAACTTGTTGTCCTCGTCTGCCACATGAAGATGGTAAACACTGAAACTTATCTCATGAGTCCTTATATCATGTACCTGCTCTTTCTAATCATCTTTTTGATAGGCAAAGTTAACACAAAAAATCTGAATGTGATGGCACAGTGTGCACCGAGCATCCTAATTAGAAAACCTAAATTCCATTTTCTCGTCCATCTCCCGGCCTACATTCGACATTTTGGGCCAGCAATCATCTTCTTGACAGAGTGATACGAGTCTTTCAACCATGTTTTCCGCCTATCTTGCATGTATAGCAATTGCCAAGCACCGAGCTGAGACACCTGCAAAGTGTTTGCTCACCAGGATGTTATCAAGCATGTTGTGACAGGTGGCTACTGGTACAATGGCGAGATCAAGAAATGGGTTTGCGCAGGCATCCAAGTCCTAAGTTATCTTGATGAGCACCCCAAACAAGCACGGCTACTGGGGTTATCGAACTTCGGTCACAGTGTTCCAATATCAGGTAAGCAACGCCATACATTTCATTGTTTCATGACTCATTTGCATATAGGGTCAGGAAAAGTTGAAACAGTGACTGGAAAGTCCGGAAAGACAGTCTGGAAGGACGCAGTTCCCTGGAAGGATACACATTGTGCGAATATTCCTGGAACTGCTCCACGCGACCCATGCATTGAGTACTACCAAGGTAAATGTGTTGTGACAAGTACAGGAGAAAACATGTACCTCAACAATGAAGCTATTGTTTGACAGCCAGCAGATGGAAAGGCAGGTTGTTTTCTTGAACTTTCAAGATAGATATCTGACAATATTTTCAGATGTACATTGGACGTATCCGGGAAATTCTCATATTGTCCAGCGACCACCTAAAGGTAGAACATGTTGCTCTCCAGTGCTTTTCCTTTACAGAGACATTGCACCCATCTCTTCATCTTCCATGTCTAGATCTTACTAATAACGAAGTATTTTTGTCTGCTGCCATAAGTTATCATTGTCTTCCAAGTCGGCTTCACATCTTATGGGTGTCATCTTGCAGGATATTGTGTTCCGTCAATATCCAGCATAACTGCATTGATTCAGGTTGCACCAACACTGGTCAGCAACCTGTATATCAAGAACAGACCCTAACATCTCGCTCAAGGTGCATCGTTCAACACAAGCCGACACCACACTACATCCTTAACGCATACTCTATTCATAACTATGACTACATACGTCTTGTTACACCTGATACCCTTCACAAGACGCCGCTGAGAGTCACCAATGTGGCCGAAGTTCAAGCATTGGCAGTATGGCAAATGCGGGAGAAGTGAGCAGCCAAAAAGTCCGGAGATGTACCTCAACAAGGAGAGGGTGGTCACATTGACAATGTCCCAGTGCCCCATGCAGTCTTTGATCGTGCTCCCGCCATGAAGACTGGTGCCAAACCAAAGGCGAAGGTCAGCAGTTCCAGTGTGTGAGGAAAAAAGAAGACTGCCCCGTCACACACTAGTCAAGCAGTTGCTCCCCCTCCTGGACCAGCATCACCTCTGCGGGGAAATGCACCATATGCTGCTGCTGTGGATCAGCAACATTTTGCGCTGCAAGCGGGACCTTCCTCAGCCCAGCCAACATATATTCCTCCTCAGTTTTCGCACCATCCTGTGCCTCAATCATATATCCCACCACCTCACTCATCCATGATTCAAGTTTCACACTCAGACCAACCATGCATTTCTCCACAGATGTCATATTACCTTCCGCTTCAACCCCACCTTCCTGCCGCTCAATCACACTTGCCTCCACCCCAATTACATGTTCCTTCATTCCCATCAGCTCCAATTACCTGGCATCCAGGCCATCAAACATTTTCACATCCACCGCCCATACCTCATTTTCACCATATGTTACCGCCTAATACATTCCCACTGGCAGGACCTAGTCACCCCAGGCCTCAACCACCCCAGCATTACTACCCCCATCCATCCTCTATCGCCCCCTTCTCACCCACACCTTATGCTACATAACGCTCTACTCCGTCGCTCAGGCTCTTGTTCCTGCTGGAACATGACTTTAGTCAAAGTGCAGCTGCCAGTGAGACACCTAAGAAATCTCGCTGGGATCAAGCTACCGTTATTCCAGAAACCCACTGCTCACCTGTTTTTCAGGGTGCACTACATATTAGTCTGACTGTATATGCGCAGTTCTGACATGAATCACGCTTCGCGACGACACGTTCAAATAAGACCTCTACTTTACATATAGCATACAGTCTTTAATTTATGTGCTCCCATTCAATGCATTTTTGTGATCCAAATCAAGCCTCATGTGAAACACACAAATGCTTAGCGCTTAAGTGTGTCCTTAATAAGCTTTATTTTCTGTTGGTGTTCATGCAGAACACCCACTCAGGTCTCAGAGCCGGACTCATTCTCTCACATTCACCCTTTACTTAGCTTTCAGGATGTTACTCCAGCGCTTTCCTGTGTGCACTCAAGGCGCTCCACAGACCAAAGGCCCAACAAGTCTTGGTCTATTAATGCCGGATGCTGCCAGAGGTCTCAGAGGCAGGAATCATTCAGCTTCCATTCAAAGTGCTCGTAGTGGATCTCAACCTCCTTCTGCAAGAGCAGGCAGTATAGGACATGCACGCTCACCCTTAGGACTTGCCCACACATCTAGATCACCCAGCAATTGTACAGGTTCTCAGTCACAGACTGCTGTTAGTGCATCTCGCCCTCACGACAATTTACAATCTGCAATGTCTGATGAATCACTCGACGAACCTATTATTGCAGGTGTATGCCGCCACCGAGCTGATTCAAGTCCTAGTCATGGCGACCCAACTGTCCTTACACCTGTGCACACAAAGAGACTGAAAGTTTATGCATTGAAGGTCGCTGGAGATTTAGGTATCTCGGAGGAGGAACTTCATGAATTTATTGACGTAAGTTTTCCTTTAGTGCTTCACAACTCTTTGATACAGCTACCTGCCTGCAGACTGGAGGGATATACTACATGCTCATTGACATCAAGGCCACCTTGTTGAGGCGGAATGATGATACCCAGAATGTGGAGCTCACTCAGTTGAAAGAACTGCTAGATTCTAAGGACTTCAAGGTATACTGTATCTATCCCCAAAGTTTGGCAGTATACACTGATCAAACAAAACACAGTCTGGAATCCAGAACCGTCTCACTGCGTGCATGCTGTCACCCAATATCACTGCATATGTCACTGATGCGCATTGTCACATCATGGTATTCTCTAAGTTGATCGCTGTATTAGTTGAATGCTGAAACTCAACAGGACTTCATCAGGGAGCACCACGATGTATTCAAAATCCCTGCGGCAATGTTGGAAGATGTGGAACTTAACGCGCAACTGTCAAAACTGGTCAGCGACTTGCTTTGCTCAATCCGCGGCAACATAAAGGCTAAGGTTTGTCAAGTTTTGCTACTGCTATGCAAACACTTTATGATATACACTTGCTTAGCTGACAACGTCAATTTTCAAATGATTGAGCATCATGGAGACCGCAAAATCTCTCGCTCATTACTGTGGCATTGAGGTCGATTCCATGCACTGGAATAGGTTCGCATTTTTGGTATGCCCTTGCTCTATTTGACAACAGGAGGTTCATACCATGTAGTCTAGCGGCGCTGCTTGCACATTTTCCTTATCTGTGTGGATGACTACAAGATTGTACCCCTCAATGCTCTTTTTTCCAACTCACTCATTTCGTCACTTCACAAAGACCTCTGTGTCACAATCAACCAGAAACTCAGAATTGATATTGATGCTATCAAACGCAGGATGCATGGCGACATCAATCAAGACATTGAGCCTGATGCTCCTGTTGCTGACATCGAAGGCTACTTAGATGAAGATCAGCTGATGCATGATACAGAGAATACTGACAATAGTGGCAATGGTAGCAGCCATCAAGATGACAAGGACAAGAATGCCAGGGACGAAGGAGCAGAGGACGAGTACCAGGACAAAGAAGATCTACCAGCTGTCAGTGAGGGAAGCTCAGGATTCAAAGGCAAAGGACGCCATGCCATTTACTCTTCATCCAAGTTCTGGAAATTCATAGATGACTCTCTCAATGGCATTTGCAAGCTAGCAAAGACCCAGGTCAGTGAGCAGGGACCAAACAGTTCTCTGACATATGAACACACATTTCGCGAGTATGTTTCCCATTAATTTGCCTTCCTCCTCCTCGCTGATTGTTACAAAGTATCCTTGTGGAATATTTTCAACTAGACCTCACTGAATTTCCCGGAAAGAGAGTCGTTCCGAAGCTCCTCAGCACCACTAGTCCCCAGTGGCAGACTACCATCCAGAACAAGCTCTTATGAGAAATTTAAATTTTTCAACGGCTCACTTGTTTCCACTCATTCTTGCTTTCTGGTAGTGCTTACTGGACACATATCGCTCATTTAGTATCACTCATTTAGTATGCATTAATTTTGCTTGTATCTAATAGTACACCAGCAATACGAACATTTCATGGCTTCATTTCATGCTTTCACCGTCCAATTACATATTAACAACATGATTGTGGTATGTGATGATGGTATGACACCTACCTATCGAGCGGGTGCTCTAACCTATGAAGCGTGATATCTGGCTGAGGTATCAATTAAACCTACACTGAACATACTGAACTTGATATCTGTTCGAGCCGTTGTAGAGACTCATGCCTCTCATTGTGCAATATGGCAGTTTTCACTGGGGAGTACATGGCACGAACTTGTAGCATCACTCTGTGTGCTACCTGCAGCTATCTCTATATGAGGCGCAGCTTTCCCGCGCAACGCGCGCCATGCGTGCGTACCTTTCCCGCGCTTCACGATGTATATGCGCGCGCGCTTTCCCGCGCTGTAGCACCCTATAGCGCCAGCCATCCAGAAGCATCCATCCACTGTCCACCAAGTTCCCTAGTGCGTATATTTCCATTTCTCACATTTGCATATCGTTCCATCTTTATTTTTATCATGGACCCTTACTTACATATATCTTTACATACCTTACTTGGTAGCGCTTCGGCTCCGCATGACAGCGCTTAGGCGCCATACTTAAGCGCCAGCAGTACATACTTACTTACTCACTTACTCTCCCACCAGAACGACAGAGGACTTACTGGTTACTACCCACTATTTACCTAGCAGAACATAGTAGAAATCTATTTGTTTACACCTTGCATCTCCCTTCTCTTGTCTTACATCATATCATCACCTAAGCAAACTCACTCTTACTCTCTCTTGTTTCCGCATACACGCGCACGCATTCCCGCGCCTCGCGCGTACCTGCGCTTTCCCGCGCTTCGCATTGGCCAACCAGTAGCGCTTTCAGCGCATACCTCTAGATCCTTGCTGCACTCGCTTCCCCTTTAGGGTCGAACACACTTGTCGTCTCAAGTATAGCAGACTAGGCAACGCACGACCTTACAACAATTATAGATACAGTCAGGAGCACTGTTCGTGCCTTGCTGTATCATTGAACCTTCACCGTGGCATGAGATGTTTCTGGGATGTATGTTCGAAATATTATAAGAACATGGCAACGTGATGTGGACAACAGCCCTGGTCGTCAATGTACCCTCGGTCTCTCTATTATATGCTCAGGTTACCGGATGCTGGTCTCGTCAATCCTGCACCCACTTGGTTGCTCAGACAATTACTAAATTGCTTCGAAATATATAGTGCGAAAACTATATAATCAATACTGCTGTAAGGCTTACCACACCCTAACACTTTTTTGGATCTACCCGAGGTTTTCGGCAGTTGGTGGTGTACATCGGGTGAAAAGATAGCAACTAATACATGATACCTCAGATAAATGCAGAAAAAAACTTTTGGAGCAACTTATGTAAGAGGAAAAAATTGGCTCTGCAAGGTATCCGGTGGGCAATGCTGACCCCTAGTGAGAATCCACAGCAGTCAAGAATGTCCTGGACGTTCAGTAAGTTGTGCTCATAAAGATGGATGGCTGCTCATTTGACATTGTTGCTGATCTTGTGGAACACCATGATGTGGCAGAGGCAATTCACTACTAAATTGTGTTTCATGTAATTTACAAAAAAAAACGACACCATTGCCATCATATATTAAAACAGCTGTAATTCCCGACTTCTAAAGGAGGGTTCTGTAGGAAGGATATGCCTAATCCTCTACAAAATCGATTGCGGGAATTTCTTATGTCAGCGATTACTTCAGCAACGTCCAGGGCACCTACATTTCTTACATCCACTGTTGTGGTCATCGGACGATGCTTGTAGCTCTGCCCTCCTCACTTAGCAACTGCCTTTGGTGTGCCGGGTGGCGAACGGTGTAAATAGGTGGAGCTCGCATTGGCCTAATCATGTCTCCCGTCTACCTCATTACCATGCATAACGAGTTGTTGACACACTATATCTGAAACACATTCGCAACCTTGTCTTTTCACATGTGAAACCCGCTCGCGATCGTTTAAGAACGGGGAGCCTCTCTGCACCTCCCTTTCCTTTCGTCGGTGGGTCCAATACGCTCTCCCGTGCTGTCTCATTCCTTGGTTTCACCTCTGTTCTCGCCTGTCAGTTTTTACGCTTGCCCAGACCTCCACTGACACGCATGCTTGCCCTCAGCGTCTTCAACCTATCTTGATCTCTTGTCTCTCGCTGGCCGCCAGTGCCCTCGTTGTTGCTAAGTCAGTTGAGTTTCTTCCTTCACTCACTTTCCATCTTGCTGGTCTGGCATGTGTTGGAAATATCGAGCTCACTTGTTGTACAGGAGTATGTTCCTGGTGAAGGCGCCTTCGTGCGTTCCTCGCATGTTGGATGAGGGGCTTTGCCCCCTCCGCCGATCACATTATATGCAACTATCCTCACTATCATCCTGCGGTTTTTGCATCTGCTGAAGCATTTTGTGAATGGCTGTTGCAATGTCTTGTGTCTCATCGTCGCTTCTGTTTCTCATGTACCCTGATGTTTACAAGATGTGTTTCATTTGATGGCGTTGCAGTTGTGATTATGCAGCGTGACATGTCTGTCTCATTATCTTTGTCTCAATTTGAGAGCACCGCGGTAAGCATTCACATCGGGACTGACGAGCATCTCGCAGTCGATGACTGTGATGCGTTGAAACCTGTGCACTCATCTCTGCAAGGCACGGTGGCAGATTGTGGTGCACGGGATGGCAAAATAACGTGCGGGTCTGCCATGCTGCCGAGAAATTGTTATGGTCCCTTAAGCAGAAGAGAAACCAAAGGGAGTTGTGTGGCATACCCAATATGAAGCCGCTGAAGGTTCAACAATACAGCGAGGCACGAACAATGCTCCTGGTTGTATCTATAAATGTTGTAAGGTCGCGCGTTGCCTAGTCTGCTATACTTGAGATGACAAGTGCGTTCGACCCTAAAGGGGAAGCGAGTGCAGCAAGGATCTAGAGGTATGCGCTGAAAGCGCTACTGGTTGGCCAATGCGAAGCGCGAGAAAGCGCAGGTGCGCGCATGGCGCGGGAATGCGCGCGTGTATGGCGCGAAGCACAGGAAAGCGTGCGCGTGTATACAGATACGAGAGAGAGTAAGAGTGAGTTTGCTTAAGTGATGATATGATGTAAGACAAGAGAAGAGAGATGCGAGGTGTAAACAAATAGATTTCTACTATGTTCTGCTAGGTAAATAGTGGGTAGTAACCAGTAAGTCCTCTGTCGTTCTGGTGGGAGAGTAAGTTTGTAAGTATGTATGTACTGCTGGCGCTTAAGTATGGCGCCTAAGCGCTACCAAGTAAGGTATGTAAAGATATATGTAAGTAAGGGTCCATGATAAAAATAAAGATGGAACGATATGCAAATGTGAGAAATGGAAATATACGCACTAGGGAACTTGGTGGACAGTGGATGGATGCTTCTGGATGGCTGGCGCTATAGGGTGCTACAGCGCGGGAAAGCGCGCGCGCATATACATCGTGAAGCGCGGGAAAGGTACGCACGCATGGCGCGCGTTGCGCGGGAAAGCTGCGCCTCATATAGAGATAGCTGCAGGTAGCACACAGAGTGATGCTACAAGTTCGTGCCATGTACTCCCCAGTGAAAACTGCCATATTGCACAATGAGAGGCATGAGTCTCTACACCGCCTTGCCAAAAGTGCTGCTCAGCAACTTCGAACAGTGTGGCGCGCATGACGATACTAAGGATGGTGGTCATGTCGAGTTCAGGCGGATTTGGGACATGAATTAGAGGAGTGGGTGCGATGCGACCATTGCTTATGAATGGCGGGTCCTACGGCAGTAGCTGGTCGATGGCTTGGGTGAAACGCTTGATCGATCGAATTCAGGGTGTCTCGCGGAAGACTCTCAATCACACAGCCTTGCTTGGGGGAGGTCTCAGATGTGGTCTGCGGCTGTCTGAATTGATCTGTAAGACCGATAACTCATCTTGGGCGAATGTGTGGATGGTAGGTAGTAGGTACGGCACGTGTTTGCAACGGTCGGAGAAGTCGGGAACTGGCGCGTCTGCGGCCTTACGATATGGTTACGGGGTCCTTATCTGAGCGTCTCCGAACTCCGCATAGTAGTGATGGAATCAGCTGTAACTCCACAAAACATTCACACGTACTCCTTACGTCACCTTCGAACACTTTCCTCAAATTCGCAAACTCTCGAATCAGCAGAGGCTGATTTTCGGCCCAGCAGGAGTCGAATTTCAAAATGATCTTTAAGAAATGGATCTCCTTAACCACTGCGGCCCTGCGCGACACTATGTTACGTTCGCCGGCTTGACGAAGACGCTATCGCGAGGACCATGTATTTGTGTGAGTCATGCTATGGCATCTAGTAGTGCGTATCTAGGGTATAGCACGGGTATGGGCCACACCGCGGGTATGGGGGTCACGGGTATGGCGGGTACGGGTACGGTGTCGAGATGTGGTACCCGTGGTCATACCGTACCCGTTAGCACGGTATACGGGTATGTTTACGGGTGTCTCCGATAGAACCGAGAGTGGAAAGGACGGGACGGCCGAAGAACAGGCACAAGGGGAGATGCGCATCCAAAACGGGCACGGTGAGCGACCTGTCGACGTCGGCTCGCACCCTCTAATGTTTCAGTCCATTTTATCTTATATCACAGTACCTGACGCACGCACCTTATAATCTAGGTATAGAATTTGTTAGTAGAGAGTCTTCAATGCGAATACTGAGATATTCGCACCTTTGTCTAGGTCCCGCCTGTCTGCTTCGATATACATCACTTTAACTCTACATTTCTCAATACTCCCTCCATTCACTCCATCATTATGGTCAATCAGACGGCCTCGATCGCCGAGTCTACACGTTCAGAAACTTCAGATGTATCATCATCGAGTCCGCAGTCCATAGCGGCAGACAATGTTGCAAAACGTGTTAAGCTTATCATTCCACAGGTCGAAGCAACCCCCTCCGAGTTGCACTCTCCTGCTCCGGAAGTAATTGATATTGATGAAAATGATGCACCTCCTGCTGCTGAACAGGACGATGAGGCCGATCTAAGTATGTGAACTTATTGCTCGTGTCTGCATGGACCTTGATTAATTTTCACTCACAGACGCACTCAAAAAAACTTGGCGTTCAGCAGTCTATTCTTTTTTTAAGCTTGACGCTGTGACTGTCCAGTATCTCGATGGACGTCTAGTTCATTTCTTCCCTTGCGGGGCACGCAAGTGCAAACTCCCTGCCGGGGGTGTCCGCCGCTTCCAGGACTCCAAGGATAAGTCCTCGACTACGAATCTAAGGCACCACGCCAATGGCTGCTGGGGCAAAGAGGCAGTCGATCATGCATTCAGTGGTGGAAAGGTAGTACAGGCCACGAGTGGATCAGTTTTCTCGGCTTTTGCTCGAAAAGGACAACAACCTGTCCATCATACATATCGAATGCACACGAGCAATGAAGTTCGGTAAGTCGACATTTTTGGGCCTTAATAACATCTGACATTATTCACACTGGATTTAGGGCAAATCTCGTACGGTGGATCACAGAGAATAATCGACCTGTGAATATAATCAACGATTGTGCACTTCGTGATCTCCTGCTTTCTGGACGCCCTAATATCGAACTGCCATCACATTTTACAATCTCTCGTGATATTCGGGCGTCATTTGAAAAGTGCCAAGAACGCATTGGTACGCTCTTGCAGGTATGTGATCACATACTTCATTGTATAGATCCGTCTTTTGTCATTTGCAATTATCCATTCAACTACCAAAGCACTCCCTATCTGGCGTTCTCGCTGCAACAAGGCCGGTCTCAAAGCAAACCTTATCCCACGAGACGTCGTCACACGGTGGAACTCCACACATGACATGCTGCGTTTTGCAGTCAAGTACCGGAAGCCCATCAAGAAGATTACTGGCGACAAGAAACTGCCCAATTTCCGCAAATATCGATTGGAAAACAATGAATGGACTGTTGTCGAGGAACTTGTCACTGTACTGGAGGTAGCTCACTTAGCCTCTGATCGAGTTATTTTCAGGACTTATTCAATTCAACACTAGCGTTACAAGCAGGCTACACTCTTTTTTTCACGCAACTCGGCCAGTGTCTATGCAGTCATACCTGCAATGGACAAACTCGATAGCCATATGAGCAATGTTGAGACGAAAGAGGGGTTCCAACCAGCCATCCAAGCTGCGATGAAACTTGCTCGCAAGAAAATGGATAGATACTGGAAAATGACTGATGACTCAAACACGTATCGCATCGCAACAGGTGAGCATAAGTTGTCAATTGTTTCAATATGAGGTGGTTTGTGCTGACCCATGTCTCGCTAGTTCTCCACCCTGGCCTGAAGCTCGAATATTTCCGACTACAAAAATGGGAAGATGAATGGATTGAGGCTGCCGAAAATCTCATTCGAGAAGAGTACATAGATCGTTACAAAGACCAGGTCTTACCTTCGACTCCAGCTGCACATGTCTTGGCAGAAGACAAGGTGCGACAATGCGCTGATGACTTTGGTGACATATCTCTTGGCATAGCGGCATCTCTAGTAGATGAGCTTGACAACTATTTGCGGCAACCAGTGGAGAATACCAAAGTCCCGCTGCAATGGTGGGTCCATAATCAAAAGACATATCCAAATTTGCACCGGATGGCACTTGATTACCTTAGTATTCCTGGTAGGTTGTGCACCATTGCTCTCGCTAGCATCACAGCTTATGTATCACACACCATAGCTACCTCAACTGCAGTTGAACGTGTATTTTCGCAAGGCCGGCACCTTCTGCACTTTACTCGAAACCGCTTGTCTCCAGCATCAACCCGTGCATTCCTCTGTCTTGGCTCATGGCTCCGCTGTGATCTGGTAGCGCCCGAGGACCTTACTAAGATCATGAAGTCTCTGAAGAAAAGAAAACGAGAGGACGAGAGCGTTGGATAAGGTTATTCTACGTAGTTTCACTATTTTTTGTTTGTGTACCCGCGGGTAAATGCAACACCGCGGGTAAGCTGCCATACCGCGGGTTAGTACGGGTAATACCGTACCCGTATCTGTACGGGTACGGTGTTGACGGGTACGGGTACGGTGTTGATCTTCCGACCCGCGGGTGTACCCGTGCTATACCCTATGCGTATCTGTCTGCAATGGGCCATTGTACCGTTTTCTTGGACCAGGAACATCCCCTGGTGCCATATGATTACCATGAAACCTGTTAGTGCCTGATTACTTTCCAACAGTATCAGGTACGCTCTCCTAGCCAGATCACATACTAGGTAGGAACATATGGGTATTCGCGAAAAATGTGGCATGACTCACCCCAAGTACCACGAATCTCTGTCTAAACACATTCCGGTAGTGAACTGTACAAGTTTGTCTTCGATCTTCCTATACACTGCATATACTGAAACTTACATTTGACTGGGCAAACAGCTGCAAGGTAGATCTTACCGTGATTAGGCAGCGCCTCGATGACCAAATCAGTGGCAAGCCAAACGAGACACATCATCTCACGATTCTCACCACGCAAGCAACCTAGGTCTCAATAATGGGGCGGCGCCCAATCCTACACAGTGCAGTTAACAGAGCTACACTGATCTTTAAACTCGTCACGATAGCCCCCGAGGGTCATGTTGAAGCTTGTCTTCCTTGGCGATAGAGACTCGCCCTCAGCCCCTCGGTCCTCTGACTCCTTTTCACCCATTTCTATGGCCCTTTATGGCTGCATGTAATCATTTTACTGCTTGAAGATATGTTGCGCGGTGAGAATGGGATTCCACGGAAGATGATTCAATTAATCTCCCGTAGTCAGACATTGATAGACGGAAGCCAGTCGTTCTTTATCTACCAATACTTGTGCACCACATTTATATGCAAGTGGTTCGTCGTATCCGCATTGACGACGCTGCGGCATGGCAATAATGGCGGTAAGATATTCAACCCACAACGCAATGATTAGCCGACCCCGATGCTTCAAGATCTGTCCATCACGAACATCACGGAGTCCTGGACAATCACCTTCGGTTTCGCGAAGCAGGCTAAATGATTGTCGCACTTCTCATCTGAGGGTATTCAGAGTTGTTCTCACGCTTTGGTGTATGAGAGAATACCGGAATTCAAATCGAATTCAGTAGGTCAGTATATGATATCCCCACACTTGTACCTGGGAATCGCGTCGCGACAGTAAGACTCATGATAAGAAGTACTTACTTCCTGCAGTCTATAAGTATCACGGTGTTCTGACGACCTGAAGTCACGTCTCAAGAAGGATCGTGGGATATACCCCAAGGTCAAGGCTCCCTAGGCCCATCAGTAATTCGGAACACATTGTATTCAAAGCAACTGTGTATGGCAACCATACAAATATGCTGACCATGTATGTGGCATGCGTCGAGAGCGGAATTCACACCATATTGATACTAATGAAGAGGAGCGCACCAGAGCACCTTCATCACTTATGGTGACTGCGCAAACACGAAGATTTCAGGTCTGAAGATGTCAACTCGCTCCTTTGGCTATGGAGACAGATAGATACATATCTAGATAATACTTGCATTGAACACGGTACGGTATGATTAATCTGGCCATGGCACGAACTCCCCTCTCCCCGTAGACACCCTAGACACTTTCGCAGGTACTAATGCACCATCCACTCAATTCCCCACTGGTTGGCACCTTCATTGCTCTGATGCCTTGACCGGTACGAAACGATGATACACTTTATACGCACATCTAGACGATACAAGGAACGCACACTGCACGTACTGTCTACACATGTAGGGCAATGTCACCATGATTACCAAGTATAGCACTTCAACATCATACACGAGAGTAATGGATAGCTAGAGGACGAGCAGTTAGAAAACGCTCAAGCCATGTGTAGAGATCCCCCAACAGATTCCATCGTCTGCGTCGAGCACATGCCAGTGAGCTTTCGAGCGAGAGTAAGAGCGATGAACTCACAAATGGCGAAGCTGTGGGGCCATCGAGGATAGAAAGCTCCTCCTGCGTGAAGGGGAGCCGCGGGATTACGTAGGCTCGAAGAGGGACAAGAAGCAAAATTATGACCGGAAAGCCGAGAGCAGCTGCTCCAAAATTAAGCAAAATCACAACCTATAGATGACAAACGATTTACCGATGGACTGAGTAAGCACGAATGTTGCTCCGAAGGCCACGAGTTGAATAGTCACAAACATCAATAGTCGAGATTTCCTGACTTTGCGCAGCGGGTCATCAGGTGAGGTGAGGGTCTTGTCGCGTATGAGGTACATGAGTTTGATGGTGATTCCGTTACCCTTGAGTGCATCCGCACCCATAAACCAGCTGCCTACAGTCAGCGGAATCAAACGACAGTGGATAACCTTACAATAGCCCGGCCAGCACGCCTCTTGGGACGAGTCCCAATATATGCAGAAACGGGCCGGTAAGTAACACAAGGCATAATGAACCTTGGGCAAGATTGGAAACTCGTTGTTCAACGACGGCGATAGGGGCTTCTCGCTGACCAACGGAATAGTCAGATGACTTTTCCATTTTTATAACTGCACCGTTGGAATCATAGCCAGATTGCGAGGATGGTTTGGTGATCTGTTCTTCTTCATCTATATCTTTCTTGGAAGGTTTTCCCATAATGAGCAACGAGGTGGTGTGAATAGGTGCTTGAGGTATAAGTCCGTTGGGTGCAGGCACCCCAATGAGTCCTGCTATGAATGTTGTGATACCGAGAAGGAAGAAGTCGTAGTGGAAACCGGGTGGCTTCCGCAAAGGGAACTGCGAACCCTGAGCTATTAGGGACTATCGAGCAATGAGCCGGGATGTAGTAGGTATGCAAGTAGCGGGACGTACCGAGACATTGTGATCAAAGAAGAACAGGATCCAAAGAATTATACCGAAGGGAAGCGCAATACCGACCCATTTCCCATCTAGCTCCCAGAATTTGACAAGCCACGCTCTTCCATTGGCAGCCTGGAACGCACCGCCTACTGGTAGCGTGGAAGGATTAGAAGCATTGAAACGGCCCCAGTATGCCATGCTTGAAGCCGCAATAAGGGAGATGGGCATTCCATAATCCGAGAAGAAACGACGGATATGACGATGGAACAACGTGGTCTCCGAAAGGCATTGGAACAAGAATGACGCTACGAGCATCAGGAGGGCAAGGGTAATACCCACCAAAGCACCTTCGAAATCCCCACTGAATTGTCGAGTGATCACTTGTACTCCGTATTGGAGGTACACCCAGGAGACGTAGAAGCCAAATGTGTCGCAAGAGAACAGAGTGACATATCTCACAAAATTACACCCTTGAGAGCCAAAATCAACTTTAAATGGGAAGTCGTTGAAGAGGAAGGAGACTCACAATTCAAAATGGCCGTTACCCAATGGATGATTGCAGCCCAAAGGTAAACCCAACCCACAAATTGCAGATAATTTGGTGCATTAGGCTGTTTGTGGATGATGTCATATATCGTCCTGTTGAAAACTGTGATTGGTCCTAAATGGTTTCTATGAATAGCCCGTCTACGACGAGACATTATCACATCATGATAGACGCTGGTGTTTGCATACCAGTGACGCCCGCAATTGTAAGTGGCTGCGCGCCGAATACAGAAAACACAAACGCAGCCATGAATGAGGATATAAGGACCTCAGTAACTGTGTATTGCTGCGTCGTCTCTATTAGGTCTAGCGAAAATGCTATACCAGGTAGGACACTATACGCCGGAGATCTGTGAGAGCGGACTATGGGTAGAGTTTACTGACATACTTTGCAAAGAAAATGAGAGCGGTTGCAGGAATGACTCGATAATTCCATGCATCTGTCCAGTCACTGAAGTACCAAGGAGCACGAGCACGGATGTCTGATATGATGCCGGCCCCAAGTTTAGGAACGAATGAAGGAGTTCGGCGGATTGTAGCAGCATCTTGCAAAAGGGTACTCGATCCAGGTGACTCTCTTGCTTGTTCTTCCATAGGCCGAACTTTGACAGGCATTTGGTTTCTGTACAAAGTTATGGGTATCAAAGGTAGAAACAGGAACTGCTGGACACTGGAGAAATCAGGGAAATTATGGATTACACGTACTCGAACACAAGTACTAAGTACATAAAACGAAGTACTAAATGGAACAAAAATTTTCAAATGAGGGTGAAGATTACACTCTACTACGTACGTGGCACGACGACCAGATCTGCGATCAACTAAATGGGACGCGTAGGAAGGTCTTGGCTGTAGTTGACTCTCACCTTATCCAGTCTCCTAGCATCCAACCCTAGCACGTATGCGCGGTCATTCTCCATCGAGATCAAACAGGGATCTCAGATGCTCGAAACGTGGTCTCACTGGATGCCCTACTTCTTGATGACATCTTGGTCGAATGTCCGTGTGGAAAGAACCGCTCACCGATCCGAATTCACGTTTTTCTGAATACTCCAAAGGACGAATGAGGACCATCACTCGCGCGTCAGGGTTTCGACAAGGTATTCCGGAATCGAGTGGGCTGCGAGCGATCTGACTTCGGGACATTCTGGGACATTCATGACCACCAAGAGGAAAACGCTATCACGACGAGCCAAAGTACTGCGGTGCGGGGGGAAATCAGGCGGGAACCTTGCAGCGAGCGGAACGGTGGCAAGATATCTCCTTGAAGATAGTGATAGTATCAATGCTATACGGCATAATGAGATGCATTGCATTCCACATTCCAAGCTAAAATGTCTATACGGTGACCACGTACCTGATTGTCAAGCACGGTTCGTTCTACGAGCCATCGATAGTATCTGTCGAGCGAACATAGATGACTCCTTCTGCTTCGGAATCATCAATCCCCGCAGGGTCGGCAGCACTCTTGAGCTCTGCATTGAGTAATATCATTCGAAGCATACTGGTCTGAATGGCCGTCGCGAAGGTGTCGCGATTCCCGTTTGATCTTTCATACACTCGCGAGTATAAGCCGGATAATCACCACTGCGCGTAGGTAAATCAGATATCTCGTCTAGGAGCACGAATTCGAAGAATTACTTTTTTGCATTTCCCTGTATTCAATAGTTTCTCAGCCGAGCATTTGTCTTCGATAGAAATGCCAGGATCATCGGGAGCCAACGGATTACTATGAGATGCAGCCAGACGCAGCGTGTGTTACGTGTGCCACGGATTTATAGACGTAATCCGGCAATTGTACCGAGACCTGGACCAGCTGCGCCTCTGTTGACCCTCCTTGGCCTTCCCGCCAAGATGAAGTGGATCGTAGGAATGCCTGCAGCTGTATCAAACCGCCGGTCCGAATAAATGAACGATCACTAGTACTGGGACCGATATCTTGAACACCAAAATCAACCCTGTGAGTTTGTTTTATGTACGATGTTTGATTGCCCAGTGTGACTGATGTGATCATAGAAGAGAACGGATGAGAGCTGACTCGGACCCATAGCCAGAATACACGGATAGCGAGTAGCTATATGGACCATGAGGGGACGGACAAACCTTGCACAGTAGAACAATGGTGGCAGTGGTCCGCGTTTGCGCCGCGCAGTCTTAAGCTGCCACGACGCATTACGAAGTAGTCATCGTGCGACAGACGGGGTCCGAGTCGGGTTGTAAGAGTTTGTAATGTGCGCTAGGGTTTGTTGGTGTCCCTGAATATTCTAGAAGATGCGCAGATTTTAGCCGCTGAGGACAGTTTTGCAACATCTTATATATTCACTTCTGCGGTCGTGACGGTGCATTGTGCACTTCATGCTCCAAGAATCTGAAGGATATCTTAGATATTATTGCATAACTTGCCCTGCAACCTGTAATTTGTTTGGAGAGATTGTGGCTAAAAATTATTGTGGAGCCGAAAGAAAATGTACTGTTCAAGGTTTCGGGGGATTACTAATCGACTGCGAGTCTGTGACTGTGCACGAGCGCAAATGCCCCAAAGTTTCCGTTGAGGAATGCATGAACCGAAAAGTGAATTATCCTCGGAGAGTCGGATGTGTTTGCACAGAAGACGATGAAGCGAAGCAGCACACAAGGGTGGAAGTAGAAACAAAACATAGAGAATCGGCCGCCAAATACAGATGTATTAGATAATAGCGAACCGAACGAACCGCAACGTTGCGCAGTGCCGTACCAGTAGTACCTTCTTTATGTCCATCCAACCAGACAACGATGGTTTGTTTGCACGGCTTAGGAGGGTTTTTGCGGTCCTCGGGTTTCTCTACCTGGGGGCAGTCATCCTTCTAGCAGTGCCCTGGGTCCAGTCTCAGTAAGTCCAATCATTCATCCTTCACGATTGTGCATGTAGAACTCGAGACGTAATTAAGCATTGTGTACATGAACGCCTTGAAGCTACCTTGGAACGCACATTTTGATGCACCGGAAAGGCATGGTCTTGCACGTACGTTTTACTCCATCGCGTACATTTCTTTCAAACTCATTGGATTGATTGCGGATACGTTAGCTGGGAAAACGGCGAACATCAAGATTCAGACCGCAGACAATCACACTCTCGGTGCATGGTTCATTCTCTCAGATACCATATATCACGACTTGTCCTTTCCCCCGCCTCCATCTGCTGCAGAATTGCACATTTCAGAAGCTGTGGCACAGCGTCCAACTGTGCTTTTTTTCCATGGCAATGCTGCTACGCGGGCTCTAAGCATGCGCGTTCGCCTATATTCCGGGTTTACCTCACGCCTGGACGCAAATGTCCTGGCAATAGATTATCGTGGATTCGGAGATAGTCCAGGCACGCCTACAGAGGACGGCTTGTCACTGGATGCAAGAGCTGCATGGGATTGGCTGATCGCGCAAGGTGCTTCACCGCAGGATATCCTTATAGTTGGTCACAGCTTGGGAACGGCAGTGGCGTCCGGGCTCTCTGTCGGCCTCTCCGAAGACGGGGTCAAGTTCAGAGGGACCGTCCTTATGTCTCCTTTTTCCTCGCTCTATACCCTGATAGATACCTATAACATTTTTGGTGTATTTCCCGTCATGTTGCCCATTAACATGATACCTCGAGCGGCCGGTAAGTCTGGAAAACATCACCGAACGCCGATATACCCTGACTTTGCGTGTCTCAAAGGTATTTATAAGAGTTTTCTCGTCCACAAGTTTGACACTTTATCGGCGATATCGGTATGTAAATATCCTGTTCCTAGATTATCTAGCACCTCACCGATTTGCGTCCAGAAACTCAAGGTACCAATATTGATATTGCACGCGGAGGATGATTGGGATATTTCTCACACCCACTCTGACGCTTTATTTGATGCTCTCCTGGAACCATATCTCCCCCCAGTCTACTCTCCATCAGCAAGCCAAGAGTCGTGGTCGACACAGCAGTGGAGCGAGTACCATGCTCAACTGGTCACGCGAAGGGAAACTCGGGAGTCCCTACTGACCCGTACTGTCATCCCCAACTTCGGGTTAATGGATCAGTTCGATGGTTTTGGAGAACGAATCACCCTGCTCAAAACTTCTACTGGTTCTCACAACGAGGTTGGTACTCTTGAGGGTGTTCAAGAAGTTATACGCGTTACATTCTTCACGCCTGAAAACCTGCGTTGATAATGATAGGAATTTGGTGATAGCGTGTTTGTATTATACGAATTGGATAGCTAAAATAGATGAAACCGATCAACTAGACTTGCTGTTTTACTAGTTCTAGCCACACCCTTGGAGATCATACAACCAACTTGAAGTATTACAACCTGCACACCTGAACTACGTTTCTGCCCGGCTCATTGCGTGCTCAGCGTTCATTGCCAGATGTAGGTCAGCCTCCAATTCGTCCTGATTTATGCATGGTCAAAACCGAGGAATCTGACTGTATATGAGCCATACTTGCCTGTATATACGATGACCGCCTAGACAGCTGGTGCACGACTGGCTCCACCATCCCAGTAGGCAGGTCGTCTCTTACAGATTGGTCACTGCTTCCGTGGCTCTGGGTACTTGTACGTCCGCTTTCGTCTGACATCCTCTGCCCAGGCTGTTAGATAGTTCAGAGACAGAGCCATCCTAAATTGGCTACCTGTAAACACGTATCTCCAGCCGCCAAATCTACGCTCCGCGATCTCTCCAGCTCCAGTGCTTCCGCACGTCGTCGAGGAGTCGAACGAGGTAACTCGGTGAGCACGAGGTCCTTTGTTCGTTTGGACGGCGGAGGGACGATTGGGGTATTTAGAAGAAGAGTGATGGTATCAGAGATCGAGGAAAGAACTGATTTTTGCATTGGTGGAATGATGGGATATACGAATCTAGGGTTGTGTCATAAAAATCTGGCGCTGCGGCTGGGAATCATGTGCTTCATGCTAAGGTATAAACACACTGTGGTAGAACTCAAATTGGAGTTCAGTCTGCGTAAGACTCGGGTCCAGATGACATCACCAAGTAGTACAAATGGGGTCGAGAAGTCGGACCGTCTGCCGACACCCAATATGGGACAGGCAGAGTCGGGGACTGGCCGGTCATTGCCGCTACGATTACATAATACAACCGAGTTGTACGATGGTCTACTACATAATTCACTCACCAGCTGCCATCGTAAATCGGAAGCAGGAGTCCTCATTTACATTCAAGTGCTTCTCAGCGTCAATCCTACCATATTTCTCCATGGAATTTCGCTAAAGGTGATGAAGCACTGATATAAAAACGGAAGACGATTCCTTCAAATCTAACGAATTTTCGTTGGTCCAGACAGATCTGGAAATTGTGCAACGAGTTAGCTCAACGATGCAAACACTGGAACCCTATCTGCACGAGGTTAAACACCCACAAATTCATTTCACAACTGCCCTGAAGAAAGTTGGATGTGGGAGGCGCAGATCGTGTCACATCAGAAGTCCTGCGATACCTTTCGTCTTGTGGATCTAGGTTCGTGACAGAAATCTCAACTGCAAACCCTTTGTAATTGTAATTATCCAGTGAGATGGAAGTCAGTCATTCTAAAGCGGTAAGAACATGCGGAGAAGTAATAACGTCAGTCGAGAGGAAAAAATGTAGAACGAACTGTATCTGCGAGTCTGCAGTCAAGATCGGTCACAAGCAATATGATCATGTCGAGAACGGAGAAGTATCAGCAAGAGCCCGAAGGAAGAAATGTAAGAAGAACTGTATCATCACCGACTACTCATTCATTCTCAGCATTAGGGTGTCCTCGCCTGGTCTGGGCTTCTCGGATCAAGTCGCTCAACAACTCGATCTCGTCGATGATCTTCTTTGGCCGCTTTCCCTTCACAACACCACATATCGTTGCATTTGAAACGATGTAAACCCTTTGATCAGACATATTGGCATTCTTCAGGTTATCTTTCACGCTCTGGCGCGTCTGCAGAATGAACTGCTGCCGTGCAGCCTGGTAAAGCTTCTTCTTCTTGCCCTCGCTCTCATCATTGCTATCGTACCCATTATCCTTCATGATATTTAAGATATGCTGATCTGCCTTAGAGCGCACGATATACGTGGGGATCTTGAAACGCCTGCAGTTGGCAAGGATGGCGATGTCGGTCATGGTGAAGCGATTGTCGAACAGGACGATGATGCCGTCAAAGACGTAAAGGCCTTGGGCATTGAAGTATTGCCAGTCTGGGATTTTGAGCGTGCCTGCGCCCGGGATATCGTACCAGACAAGAGGGTATTCCGCATTGGGGTCGGGGAGTCTAGCCATGGTCAGCGTTTTTTTTTTTATTTTTTTAATCAAGTTTATTGTCCTCTTGGGGTCGTTGACCCTATGTTGGACTTAGCCCTGTTCGCGGGGGGCTTGCTCCCGCCTATTCTAGCGTATATATGTGTGTACTGCCGTGGTCTCAATGGAAAACAAGTACTCCGTCAGCATATTGTCGGGCGAAGGCCGACACTGAGTTCGTACAGAGGGAGTGATGTGGTGTGGAGCGTATATAGTGTCTGCACTCCTACGGTAGTGTCTCGCGCAGCGGGGCTTCTTCCCTTCTGTCTCGGAGATGATTAGTGTCGAATGGTGTCTCGCGCAGCGAGACTTCTTCTCTCCTGTGTCGGAGTTGGGTGGTGTATGGTAGTTTTGTATTAGTTCTTGATGTATGTTGCGTGGAGGGGAGATTTAGTTGATTAATTGTGTCTGTAGGGTAGTGGGTTGAAAGAGTGTTCTTTAACTGTTCGTGAGCTCACCGAGTATGGGTTTGAATCTTCTCGTTTGGTTGATGTAACGCATCAGTGGTTGGGTGGCTTTCTCGGCGGTGAGGATATATTGGATGGATGACGCTTGTCTTCGCAGCGCGTTAGTGAGTTGATGGCGTTCCCGGGTATATTGCGGGCAGTCGAATAGGAAGTGATGGATAGTTTCGTCAGTATCTGGGCATGTGGGACAGTGGGGAGTGTTGCTCTTTCCTATGCGGTGGAGGTGCTGATTTAGTGGGAGATGACGGGTGCGGAGTTGGGTATACATGCTGGTTTGTCGTCTGGGGAGGGTCGCTACTAGCTTGATGTAGCGATTGGATGGCATTGAGGGATCTATGCCGGTTGCCCTTGCGTAGCGTGGTGATTTCTTCCATTTCTTTTCCCATCTCTTCTTCAGTGCATCTTCGTGCCACTGCTTCAAGGCTGATATACTGTCGGGGAGTGGCTTGCCTCTAAGGTACTTGGGTAGCGTCTCTGGCGCGCTGTTCTGGTTAGGCCCTTCTGCCGCTTCCTTGGCAGCGACATCTGCTAATTCATTTCCTACTACTCCTTCGTGTCCGGGTATCCATCTTACTGTTAGCTTGAAGTTGCGCTCTTGATCTCGTCTGTTCTTGGCTAGGTGTCTTGTCATGCTGCGAAAGTGCTCTACTAAGTAACCGCCAGGTTTCGTATTGTGACTCTCACCGGATAGAATGGCTGCTTGGTTGTCTACGAGTATGGTTGCTGGGTATTGGACGTTTCGCTCCGTTGCTAACAATTTGACCGCAAGCGTTAGGCCGACTACTTCCGCTTCGTACACTGTATGTTTCTTGTCCGGACCGAGGTGGAATTTGAGGGTACGAGGTTCCTGTCCTTCTCTGATGAGTACCGCTGCTGCTCCTACTTTCCCGTCGTGTCCTGATCCGTCCGTGAAGATCTGGATGGTATCTACTAGTTCCCTCTGTTCCTTGATGGCCTGCTTCTTGTTGGGGGCGGTATGGGTCTGGTAGGCGTTTGGGATTGTTGCGTTTGATCTGCGGATCGGGTCCAGGGTCTCGACATCCTTCGGGAATATTTTGAACGTGTCGAGGAGGTTGTGAAGGGAGGATCGATGACATTTGATGTTGGGGTGTTTGGCGATGTGAGTAAGGTGTTTGTGTAGGGGGTGACGAAGCGGGAGGGATGCTAGACGAAGCGCTGCTCTATGGCAAGTGCGTTGGAGGAGGAGATCTGTGGGGAGGAGGTTAGCGTGCGCGTCGAGGGTGTCAGTAGCTGTGGATCTCATAGCGCCGGTGATGCTTAGCGTGGCGATTCTCTGGACCTTAGCTAGTCTCTCTGCTACTCCTTTCGACCCTCGTTGTTCCTTGTTGATTCCTTCTGAGTATATGGGCTTGAACCATACGTCTGCTCCGTACGTGAACTTCGGAATGGCGACCGTTACATATAGTTGTCGCATGAGCTTTGCTGACACCCCGTTGGAGGGTTTCGAGAGACGGCGTAGTTGGAGTACATATTCTGTACCTTTCGCGATGGCGTAGCCTATATGAAATTTCCACGTTAGCTCCTGATCCACTAATGGTCAGCGTTGTCTCGGTGACGCCGGTGGCAGCAGCTCCCATATCCTTATTAAGCAAACCGCGGAAGGCATTGATGAGGGATGATTTCCCTCCTCCTGCCACCCCGGCTACTGCGAAGTGGAAAAGATTTTCGCGATATTGAACTTTCCGCTTGGCGGCGCTAACTTCTTCAGGTGTAGGAGTCACCACAGGTTGAATTCTTTCAACTTGCGTTCAGCCTCCTCCTTGGCAGCATTGGCCGCCTTTACTTGCTCTTCTGCCACTTTCTTCGACGCGTTGGCCGCTTCCTGGGCGGCAATTGCTCTCCTCTCCTCTTCATCGGCAGCCTCCTGTAGTTTCTTGGACTGCTCCTGGGCAGCCTGGGCATCTCGTTCGGCTTGTTCTTGGACAGCGGCAGTTCGCTTACGCTCCTCTTCTGCTTCCGCTGCTCTGTATTTTGCTTCTTCGCCGGCGGTACGAGCAGCGGCTTCTGCCAGTAAGCGAGCTTCGTTGGCAGCACGTTCGGCCTCGACCATCGCCTCCATTTCCCTACGGGCCTGATTCTGTGAGGCTGCCGCGGCTTGCTCAGCGGCCCGCTGAGCCGCCATAGCCCTTTCCTGCGATTCTTGATTCGACTTGATGAGCTCGGCGATCTGTGCTCTCGCAGCCTCAGCATCCTTTCGGGCTTGCTCAGCAGCTGCCTCTGCGTCCCGGCGCCTTTTGATTTCCTCGAGTGATGGATTAGGCCCTTTCGGCCGACTCCCAGAACATCCCATCTCTGAATTTGCTCAACAACGGTAATGCGTGGCCCTGCTATTGGTTACGTCGCATGATGTTCCTATCTCTTGAGCTGAGAAAACTTACTGGTATGCTTATGCTTTGGAAAGAGAAATCAGCTAACAGCGTTGCTCAGAGTAAGTCCTGTGGATTTCAAGATTAGAACGAAGAGTCGATCTTAAACTATAGAATATAATGTCCGCCTTGAGGCATTTTATATTGTGCCGCGTGCAGACCAAGAGAACGACTGGATACAGCCAAGCGCTGATCATAAGCCACCTAGGGCTATGGGGTGTTCCACATCGATAAGGTTGCGTGAAGTGTGACGTGAAGGCAACGAAGTCACGGAATAGGGTTTCATGAATGGAGAACGTTCTGTGCATGAAAGTTGAGAATGATAGACCTGATCACATTGAATGACGGATGTATGTTTACATCAGAATTGAGACACAACATTATATGTGGCAAATTTTGATGTAGACATTCATTAATGAGTGAGCGGAATGCTGCCGAGAGTATCACCTGACCAGTATTCCTAAGTCCTTGGTCGGTTGACTCCCGAATTTCGTTCGAAAGCCTCTCAACTGACTGCGACGATGGCCACAAGTTACGAAGTCACTTGGATCACGCAAAGGATCAGTTAACAGCTCAGTACAAAAAAACGCTCAACGACCTCGAGGGATGAGTTCGAGGAGTACTATGATAGGCTTCCCGTGGAGGACTTCGATGCCTGGCCGGTGAGCAGGCTACTGCTCACAATTTCCGAACCTGTCGTGTCTGGCTAGCTCGCTATCCCTGGTGAGTTCAACCTGCTCAATCATTGTCTATAGGTATACTAATCTTGCACTGTGTAGTCTCTGCCGTGCCGTCGACTCTCAAGCACATTATTTCAGGTGGCTTCCCTTCGACGTGCTAAATGCCATCGCGGTAATTGATGGGTTGATAATACATCTAGCTACTGTAATTCAGTATATATTCTTCTACCGTACGACCGTATTGACCGGCCGTATGACCACATAGTGATCCGCACCGCGCCGTTGAGGATATCGAGGTATGACATACGGTAGAATACGGGCAGTACCCGTATGGCTACCGTACGATTGTACTACCGTAACCATATACGGTTACAGTGACCAGCCCCACACTTTAGCTCCGAGTTTCAGCAACTAATACCCCAAAAACGATGCCAACAACGGCCCCAAGGGCAAATGCCAGGGCAGCAATGGAATTGCGTGCCACCGGGAAGAAACCTCGTACGAGGGCCGCCTGGGTCATGAAGTAGCGTACGAGGCCTACGACTTGTGAGAATGTATGAGGTAGTACAATTATAGGACTCGCCATAAATTAGGATGAACAAACCCAAAAGCACCACTGTGGCGCCAAGTGGCCGAGCAAAACGCTGTGGAACAATATCTCCTTGACCATGGGTATTTGCATCTGTAGAATTGGAAAGCGTGAACAGCTGTACAAGGGCTGTTAATTTGCCTCTACTTGTAAGCGATTGTCATGGGCAAAGACACAAATGACGATCTCACCTACTCCAGCACTTGCACATGCGAGACTGGTGCGAACGTAGGCAAGATAGGTTCGCTCTGATGCAAGATGATCACGAGCAACATTACCCTTATTCTCGAGCACTAGACTCAGTGTTAGGGAAGCGGCGAACTCGTTGATAACTTCCCGAAATCTGCGAGGTGAGGATTGTGAGGATTGTTTGCCGACCATCTCAGGCTGGCTCGGGATGTGGGCCTGAGAGCTGCCTGGTGAAGCAGGCTCGCTCGGGTCAACAGAGTTGATCATGGAATCCAGGACAGAGCCAGGCCGTTGGCTGGGGGTATCTGATGAAAAAAATTCGCGTACGAGCACTATCGTCGGATGAAAATTGCTGTCCCATTTTATGGCGATTGAATTACTGGAGTATCGATGATTCGATTTGGCACTTTCCCCGTAATCGCAATCACAGGATCTTTTGATGAGGTAAAAAGCGTGGATTCTGTGAGCTCGCTTGCCCAGACGACCAGTGCTTCGTATCACAAGATAGAAAATTGAGTGGGCGTTGAGCGCACAGAAGGTGTACTATGCTGTCATGGGTGAACTAATTATTAGGTCAACTCATATCATTTACAAGTCGAGTACATGTTTTACCGGCACGTACTATGCTCTTATCTCCTTCGTTCACAGCTGGTGACTACTACTTAGTACTTCCTACTTCTACCCTAATGTTGTGGTCCGTTATGATCCGATGTCCGACAATTAGATGCAAAGTTAATTCAGTGACTGGGACGAGTACTACTTACTAGTATTAGCGGCCATTATTTTCAACTGGGCGTCTAGTTATGCAAGTTGTTGCACAATACAATTGATAGAAGTACTGAAGCCAGCTTCATCTATAATATACCCTTGATCAAAGCTTGATAGACGAGAAGAGGGTTCCTTCATTTCCGCCGGTCGGTCCGAAGACAGCCGATACCGATTAGGGTGAGTGGGCCGGGTTTAGGGTCAGGATATGCTTAGTTTCCCCTTAGTTTCCCCCAACCGTAAACTACCCTCCCGGTGGGTCATTATTACCGTTTGCAGTTGGCCGGCCATCGAAACAGTGTTATTCCTAAGCAGAACGAGTCAGCGCACGGTAGCCCCTGACCACAACTTTCGCAGGTTCGAAACTGCTGTCACATCTGGCGCCCCTTTTGCCCTAGATAACCCTAGGAGATGGGTGCCTGTAGCGGGTGCTAAAGACGTAGTCCGCCTCGCCACACACTTATGGCTTGGGCTTCACTTCCAAACAATTCACTAATGCGTAAAAAGAGTTCCTCTGCGCCGTCAAAGGTTGGTTATCCAATGCGAAGACACTCGTGTAGGCGCAATTTTTGTGTATCTCGGCCGGACCTTCGCATCGGCTCTAACGTACGGAGGCCAAGTTGATGATAATCACACACTCAGCTTTGCCGTAACAAATCTACGCTCAATCGCACCGTCCAACTTTTCCTATCTCCTGCCATCCCTCCTCGTCAACATAAGTACCAGGTCCTGCGTGTCATTGCTGACCTGAAAGATTTATGTACTCGTCAGCAGTTTGGATAGTAACAAACCTTTCAGTCTGCCGTCAATGATATCTTGATTCACCTGCGCTGATTTCGTAAATTCGTAATGTGTATTGCGCAAATTACTATTTGCCTCGAGTGTCTTTCGCGAGGTTGGTGTGTTTGATATGGTCGGTGGTAGAAGATATTCTTCCTCTTCCATGCAAACGACCTCCAGATTACAAGTAAAGCACTAGTACTATTATAACAGTCGAGCATGCTGGCTCGATGTCTGTTCCCCCTAATATACAGAATCACGTGGCAGCCATCTTGTACAAAGAAAGCAAAACTCGTTCACTTGGGCACAATCCGTTGGTACATCATTGTCCTACATTAGTACAGGTGAGACCATGACTGCGTTGGTATGAAGTGCACTCACCATCGTTCTGCTCCAGTTATTCCATTCTCTTCCGAGTGATAAAACTCTCGACCTCTTTCCATTCATTTCCCCTTTCGAACCATTCATTCTGATTGGAAGGATCATCATAATCTATATCTATGGGATGCGCACGATAGATCTGGGTCAAGTTGGGAAACATCCCAGCTAGCAGGTTGCCAATGGCCTCAACATCTTCGCATGCCGCATGCCCAACACTGAGGTCAGTGAATTCCTCCCTGGTGATGCCAGTATATTGGTTATCGACGTGGACAAGTGAGTCGTAGGGGGGAAAGGTGTCTAGGTTGACCCCTAGGGAGCGCAAATTTGGACAGCGCTCGAGGATACCCGCAAGCCCACCAAATGTCACACCCAAGAAAGAAACTCCCCAGTCCCAGGCTGAGTCAAGGTAAAGACATTCCATTTGCGGCCAAGCGGCAACAAGGTCTAGAGCTTCGTCGTCGGTGATAGAGACATGCATTGAACCGAGATCGAGATTGGTGAGTCCTTTAAAAGTCCGGATATTTCGAAAGGCGGAAGCACTCAGTTCGAAAAGGGAGTGATTGTCGAAATCAGTGGGGCGATTCACCCAAACACACAATGATTTTAAAACATTGGGTTGGAAATACTCAGTAAGGGAGGAAAGTAGTTGGTCGAGACCACCCGCATTCGAAGCTGTGTTGATTCGCAGATTCGCGCTCTTCGCAGAAATTTTCAAGGGTGCCAAAAAAGCGACCAGTAGTTCGATCCTCGCAGCAGTTATACTGAACTCGTCCAACGAAAACATGACGCTGAACGTCGATGTCGGGTCCACGTCCAGGCTGTGACCTTCTGGCACGAGCATCTCCAGCTCTCTCAGCTTCTTCAGGGACGCAAGATGCTGCAATGCCTGCGCATTCACTGCTCCCATCTCTAAGATCTCCAAATCATCCCAACAGGTGACGATATCAGAAAGCATGGCACATGCACTGGCGGGCGGCATCGAACAACGAAATTCTTTGATCATGGGACAAGCCCTTCCCAGGCCTGCGACGAGATCGACCATTGCTGATGGCCAAAGCTCCGAATGAATGACCAGTCGAGTGAGAGAGTTGGAAATGCAGCGCTGGAGGCAAGGCAGAAGCACATCGCGCTGGTCATTCCAGTACAGCTCGCGAAGCCGAGGAAACGGGGAGAATGGTAAAGCAGGAGAGCCCAGGAGAGCAAGCGCAGCGCTATCGTGCAGCTTACGAGTTTTACAGTCATCATATTTTTCAAAAGTGAGTGAGCGCACGCGACACGCATACTTTTGAAAAGCAGCCCAATCGTCGTCGACCAAGGGTCGGAGAAGCCGCTGAAATCGATATACCATGAACTACATTCAAAAGAGAAAACACCAGACTGACCAGACTGTGTCCAGAGATATCTAACATAGTGCGACCCCTCGCGGTGAGTGTTACGGGTTGAGAACGAGCATCCTGAGGCAGCCACATGACAAGCATATCTGGTGTTTGAATATGCGCCCACAGGGCGTCCAGTGCTAGCTCTCGGAAAGCTCGACACGTCAATGCCAGGTGGTACAGAGTGGCAAATGATGGTTGGACACCGCTCTCTGTGACCGGCACCAGTTCCGCGAATATGGCTTTCAACATCTCTGGGATCCACAGGCAGGCGTGCATTGGTGCTGATCACGACTGAACATTGGGCAGTTATCAATCAGTTTTCCAGTGGCAGTATCTCGCACAGTCATCTGCTACTCACCGGACTCGGTCAAAAATTATCGTGATAGAACAAGTGTCAAAAGGGAAGGTGTTGAGTCGTGGTCGTTCGGAGTAGTTATTGATTGGAGTCTTGGAGAATCTGCGCGGCCTTCTATTCGCTGTGCAACTTGAGGATCATGCGACCGAGAGAAGCCAAGACTTCCGAAGTCTGCACAAGTGGGGAAGTTTAGACACTGAGAGTCGCCAACCTGGTACGACGACCTTTCAAATAGAAGTTTGTGAATCGGAGTGATCGATCGAATGTTTCGGATTGCATGATCTAAAATTGACTAGTCTATCCTCGTAATGTCAGACCTGGGGTTCGAAGGCGCAATCGAACGTCCATCCCAGGCCTAGGTGCGGGCAAATTGCCTTGGTGAATGACAAGGTAGCATCGAAAACCAAGTGTCAATCTATTAGGTCCAACGTATAATATTACATAATGTCTCAGAACTTGCTAACATAAACCAATTAAAAATCGTTATTAATTGTTCATTGGACTTGCATACGTTAATTGGTTGCCAACTCCGAACGAAGCTCCTTGTATCAACATTTCAAGGATCAGATCAATAAGCTGAACTACAACTCTGTCTTGTGGCATTGCCAACAGACATACTCATTCCGAAGGAGTCAACGGTTTAATCTCGGACACCAGCCCAGAGTCCAGGATGCTGAATGGATTGGAGATATTGGCGAGGCTGCTGCCCTCAATCGAGAGCTGGAGGTTAGGTTTGGCAGTCGAATCAATGGCCTGAGCCACTAATTGTTATCCTGCCGCCTGGTCGACCGCGGATGTCATTTCGGGCTTGATTAATGAGCATCGATGTAGATGTCCAAACTCTAATGAAATTGGGAATTGGCTTCATGATGGTGCTATCACAGACCATGCGAGTTTAGCTGGCGCAAAAAGCAGTGAGTTCGATGTGAGTAAATATATCATTCGCGCACCCCCGCGATCTTCTGTCAGACTACCCATACAACTGGCAATGGCTGTTCGCGGAGATCTGTCGTAACCAAAGGTGGTGGCCGATCCAGCTGCAACTTCGTCCTCGAGACCAGCGATAGATGACAGCATTGAGCAACAGTCACAGGCGGATTGGTTTAATTTGGTTGTAAGTTACGGTTAAGTAGAACAAATTCACGCGCCAAACAGCATCGGGTCTTGCTACTTTGCCGGTCAATTAGAAAAAGATTTCTAGTTCTCCGAATCCTTCTTGGAAATTTAACCGATCGGAGGGATTTGCCTAGGCCTTGGATGGTCTTAGCGAACTCCGAAGGCGGAGAAACTGGTGTGCAGACCTGGTGATTTACTGGCCAAGTATTGAGGTATCCAGCTCATACATTCGTAGGAAGACCGGATGCGACCGTGGTCATGCTCCAAGTAACGCCTTGCAGCCGGCTCAGTCCCCACTGAGAGCTACTCGAAGAATCTCGCGACGTGGACACCCCCAATTTCAACGAATGTTGAATCCCATTGGTCATAATAGAATAGAACAGAATGTACAACTCGCAGTTTATGTGAAGGAGTGACATTTGCATCAAAGTCCAACAAGTTTGGTTGCACACCTTGCTGAATAGTAATCACTAGCAGTCGCCTTGTACAAGAAAAAACAACACGTTTGTGTGAACAGCACCAATTCTTTACATCAGACACTGTTGGTGTATAATCCTACACTGAGAGAAATGAGGGCACGACTGCATGACTATAAAGCGCACTCACCACTGTTCTGCTCCAGCTGCTCACTTCTCCTCTGAGCGATGAACTGACCTCTTCCCATTTTTCTTCCCCGTCAAACCATTCGATATTTGCGGAAGGATCTTCGTAATTGAGATTTACGGGACACGCGCGACCGATTGAAATCAAGTTGGGACACATTCCAGCTAGCAGGTTGCCAATAGCCTCGACATCGTTGCATTCCGCAGACCCAACGTTTAGTTCAGTGACTTTATCCCTGGCGATGCCAGTGTATTGGTGATCAACGTAGACAGGTGAGTCGTGGGGGGGCGAGGTGTCTAGGTCGACCCCTAGGGAACGCAGATTTGGACAGCGCTCGAGGATACCAGCAAGCCCATGAAACGTTATCCTCATGCGGGCCACTCCCCAATCCCAGGCCGTGTCAAGGTAAAGATGTTCCATTTTCGGCCAAGTGGAAACGAGGTCTAGAACTTCATCGTCGGTGATAGAGGCATGGATTGAACTGAGATTAAGCTTGGTGAGCCCTGTAAAGGCCCGAATCTTTTGAAAGGCGGAAGCACTCAGTTCGGAAAGGGAGTGATTGTCGAAACTGGTGGGGCGATTCACCCAAACACACAATGATTTTAAAACATTGGGTTGGAAATACTCAGTAAGGGAGGAAAGTAGTTGGTCGAGATCATCCGCATTTGAAGCTGTGTCGATTTGCAGGTTTGCGCTTTTCGCAGAAATTTTCAAAGGGGCCAAAAAAGCGAGAAGCGGCTCGATCCTTGCAGAAGTCATACTGAACTCGTCCAACGAAAACGTGACGCTGAACGTCGATGTCGGATCCACGTCCAGGCTGTGACCTTCTGGCACGAGCATCTTCAGCTCTCTCAGCTTCTTCAGGGACGCAAGATGCTGCAATGCCTGCGTGTTCACTGCTCCCGTCTCTAAGATCTCCAAATCATCCCAGCAGGTGACGATATCAGAAAGCATGGCACATGCACTGGCGGGCGGCAGCGAGCAACGAAATTCTTTGATCATAGGACAAGCCTTTCCCAGGCCTGCGACGAGATCGACCATTGCTGATGGCCAAAGCTCCGAATGAATGACCAGTCGAGTGAGAGAGCTGGAAATGCAGCGCTGGAGGCAAGGCAGAAGCACGTCGCGCTGGTCATTCCAGTACAGCTCGCGGAGCAGAGGAAACGGCAGGGGCAACGAAGCAGAAGAACCTAGGAGAGCAAGCGCAGCACTATCGTGTAGCCCGGGATCTCTCATCATGGCGTAGGACTCGGCATCATATTTTGCGAAAGTGAGCGAGCACACGCGACGCGCATACATTTGAAAGGTAGCCCAATCATCAGTGGTCAAGGGTCTGAGAAGCCTCTGAAATCGATAAACAATCACATTCAAAAGAAGAGAATAGCTAACTCACCACCCTGAATGCTGCAGCAATCCCGGAAGGCGTGCATTTGAACTGGTTGAAATTCTCCAGGGTCAATTCTAGTATGGGTTGAGAACGAGCATCCTGAGGCAAGCACATGACAAACACATCCGGCGTTGGTATATGCGCCCATAGGGCATCCAGCGCCGGCTCTCGGAAAGCTCGACACGTCAACGCCAGGTGGTACAGAGTGGTATATGATGGTTGTACGCTGCCACCTATGACCTGTGTCACTTCTGCAAAAATGATTCTCAAAATCTCTGAAATCTGCAGGCAGGTGTGCATTGCGGGTGCAAATCCCGGCTAGACATTAAGCGGTCATGAATTAGTGTTTCGGTAGAGCAGTGTGTCTGGCATACTCACTGGGCTCTGTCAAGAATTACGGTAAGAGAAGGAGCGCCAAATAGTGAGTTTGACTTCACTCGTGGTAGTTCGGGGTAGCAGTACCGTGACTTGCCGAGAGTCTGAATGCGCAGCCTATTGTTTACTAGTATACTAGGCAACTTGAGGATCCTAGTGCGATCGCGAGAAGCTAAGACGCAAGTCAATCCGCGAACGCGCCAACCTGGGTACAAGGACCTTCATATAAGCTTGGCAGTGCATTCTTATGTTGAAGGGGATCGAATGTTTCAGATTGCGTGATTGAAGTACTGTGGCCCGTATCACTGTGATCGAAGTGGCCACCTTTGGGTTATTTCGATGTAGTGGCTTTGCCTTCCAAGTTCGCTGCATCCCTTGACAACGAAATCGGACAGCAAAGCCACTGCAGACCTTGGCTAAGCAAGTACTGTATCTCACAGTCTGCAGACACAATAGAAGGAAGAGAAGCAAAACAGTCCGATTCTTCCCGCTTGGCAGAATCCGGAGTTTTTCGGTGTACGGTCGCGACATGAACTCACTGGTCAGGCTCACGACGCGGACACACCCATTAATATTGATGTTGAAGCCCGCTGATCCTTATCGCACATAAGAAAATGTAAAGGTTTATGTGAAAGAGTGATATCTGCATCATAGTCCAATAAGAGCGCCTACAGATTCCTAAGCCTAGTATTGGGCAGCTCTTCTCCTAACGGCGCGCACCCTGTCCTGATGCGCCAACCCCCTCCTCCCATGATACTTCCCCGAATGGTACTTGCCGTCGTCAAACTTGGGATCGGGATGGTACTGACCGTCGTTCAACTTCGAATCGGGGTGATACTTGCCATCATCCGAACGTTTGGCTCCGGTGGTACCAGCATGATACTTGCCGTCGTTGAACTTGGGATTGGGATGGTAGCTGCCGTCGTCAAACTTCGAATCAGGGTGATAATGACCATCGTCCGAACGTTTGCCTCCGGTAGTACTGACATGATACTTGCCGTCGTTGAACTTGGGATTGGGATGGTAGCTGCCGTCGTCAAACCTCGAATCAGGGTGATAATGGCCATCGTCCGAACGTTTGCCTCCGGTAGTACTGACATGATACTTGCCGTCGTTGAACTTGGGATTGGGATGGTAACTGCCGTCGTCAAACCTCGAATCAGGGTGGTAATGGCCATCGTCCGAGCGTCTGCCAGCACCGGCTACTGTGCGCATTGCAGTCTCAGTGGGATCGGCTGCCGTCGTGGTAGTGGTTCCAGACGTGGCGGTGGCGGTGGCAGTCTCCTGTGTAGACGTGGAGGCTATTGTCGTTGGAGAATTCGTCGTCGCAGGGGTAGTGGAGCCCGTTTGGGACGTCGGGGTCGCTGTTCTGGTACCGGGTACTACATTGAGTACAACACCCAACACAGATGTGACCGCGTCTGGAACCGCAGGGGCGGTGGGATTCGCAGCAGCGGCATTATGGTACTGGCCATTATCGTAGGCTGTATTGGGATGATACTGGCCGTCGTCGTAGGATGTATTGGGATGGTACAATCCGTCGTCATATGTCTGGGTGGTGGTGGGAGAAGACGCATCCGCCGCGGTGGTGGTGGGAGCAGTCGTATCTGTGGTGTACTGACCATTGTTATACGTGGGGTTGGGGTGGTATTGGCCATTGTCGTAGGAAGGGTTGGGGTGGTACTGACCATCATCGTACCTCTTGCCCTTGCCTTGAGAGGGACTTGCTTTAGCAGCAGCATTACTGGACTGTGTCTGTGAAGTCATGTCAGCGAAAGATAGTGCTTGTCAGGCGCGGCGACATACTGGCTTGTCCTGACTCTGACTAGACTGGACTTGGGCATTCTTATCCGCGATAACGTTGTGTTGCACGCTGGGGGTATTCTGCACGCCGGTAATCTGCACCATCGATTTAGTAACATGACGGCTTCAGTATTACAAATTTGAACGACATACTGGATCTTGTCCCTGAGCCTGTTCGTGGGACTGCGAACCTGGGTGTTGTTCGATGGCGTATACGGGGTGTTTGTTGGTGACAGCGACAGCCCTAGAAGTGCGGTTGGCGTGAGTCCCATTGCCCTGAGGGCTTTGAGTAAGCTCGACGAGGATTGCGGTATTGTTGGCGACATGGGCAACACCCCTAGCAGTGTGATTGGCATGAGTGCTATTCGGGCCAGGAGTAGGGTCGACCAAGCCTGCGCTAAGAGACACGTATGGACTAGCAGTAGGAAGGACGGGAGTGGCGGACACGAGGAAACAAAAGGCGAGGAGGGTGGCGAAGCGAGGAGCTAGTTGAACCATGATGCTAAATAGTATGAAAATAAAGAACGTATTGTAATTTCTGATAGCGATGTGAGAGAAAGAGGGAAGAGAGAACACTGGTGTTCGTCCTGGCTGACGACCGCTATTTATCATGTTTCGATGACGCACCGGGGGACCAATCACGGGTCAGGAAAAAGGATATCGTACGTGGTCGACGTCATCGGTGACTTCCAGAGGCTGCCATGCCGAAGGAACTCAGGCTGGCATCCTGGTTGGCGCACTGCATAAATTCTGGCTTGATTCTCGGAAAGTAGCTTGTCGATAATAGATATCAATGCGCCTCGCAAGTCAACGTCCTAGAAACTGAGCTGAGCTGGAGATGCACGACTATCATGACCTGGACAGTAGATACAAAATTTGAGCCAAAAGGAATGGTACTTGCCTTCAAATCGGTGCCAACGTGCAACACGGAGCCCAGCCAAGCTTTCGATCTCCGCGCTCATTTCGTAGTGGTTCGTAGACGCAGTAGTTGTGATTTAGCGAGTACTTGTCATGACTGTTCAATATCAATCGTTACTGAGCATGAATTTACCTACGCCATCCGACTTGAAGGAGTCTAAGTCTAAGTAGGTGTTTCAATCCAAGTTTCAAGTCGCTGAACCTTCGCTTCATCGATTTTTCTCGTGATTCTTGTCTTCTCGCATTTTGGCTTTTTGTCCGCTACGCGACGGCAACTTCGGTCCTTATGAGTAACCCTGACTCAGCCTGTACTGAAGAACTGACTCTGCGACGTTCAGATAACTACCAAATGTTCCGCGCCGCCCGTGCTCACCAGGTTCAAACCAGCGCGCCATCAAAAACTCAATAGGGTTCGTGACGAGGTAGCTCCTGGCTCCATTTCTCAGTAACGTAGCATTTTCTTTCCACAATCCATCATATCTTACACAGCTGATGATGGCGTCTACTACCTATAAGGATCAATCGCCATCATTCGTCCATCCTCTATGCTGTACTTGTTGACATGTCAATCCAGGACCCAGCGGTAACGAGGTAAGGTATATCCAATTTTTTGTAGGCAAGAGTCGCTCAATAGGTGATGCAAGTACCCTGCTATTAATATCGTACTGGCCTGCTGAGATGAGGTCTCCATAACTCGTCTTCAAAGGCCGCCCCCATATGATTTCGCTGTTACCGCCACGCTGACATTTTCGGACCTCGTCTCAATATCAAGATACAGCTCGGTGGCCATCGGCTGTGCTATCATTGTCTCAGTCCATTATAGTTTGTATGTAAAGTATACAATGGAACTACCGTGCTCATTAGTATCATTTTTCAAGCAGGTCACATGCAACTTATGCCCAATTCAGATACGTATCCCGTCGTAGCGCTGATATATGTCAATGCGCTCGTTGTCAAAGCATATGCGCCAATGGCAGTCGTGCCTGGCCGCATCAGTCTGTGGATGCTGGGCGCCACTTTTGAAAGTATAAATATGCTTGGTATGCGGCACTTACAACCCAAGCTCTCATTTCCTGACACATTCTCGACCATGTTGACCTCCGCCAGACTTGCAGTTGTAGCACTCTTCGCAACCACCGTTCTCGCTGGAAAGCGGGGCCTATGCTGGACTTTCTGTGAGTTTCATCTCAAATCACGAGTACAAGTATATTTTGCTCACCATAACTGAACAGACGATGAATCACTGTACATAGGCTCACATTTCATTTTTTATCTGTTTCACTGACTCGTCTCTCCCCAGTGATCCCGGTGTTTTCAACAACGGAGATGGAGAAGTTGTCGCAATGTATATTCAATGAATTCTTGCGTCCGCAGCTCACTAACAGTAAACAGCTACGATTACGAAACATATGCTCCAGTTTCTACCAATGGAAACGGTGGCCTCGGATTCATCGGCATGCAGCGCTGCACCGACTGCTCATCCAGTCCTATCGCAGACCTGGCGTCACGTCAAGCATCACAAGGCTGGGCTAGTTCGTCACCACTCATTACTGGATAGACATTAGCTTTACCCATTTCTTCACAGCCGTCTTTACACTGAACGAACCCGATATCAATGGCATCACCCCGAGCCAGGCCGCTTCTTGGTACATCCAATACATCAACCCATTGGTAAGGCCTTACCATATCAATTTTTCTTCAGACCTATGAAATATTTGTCCGTGCTTTCAGGCGATCAAGAAGGCTCTCCCTGCTGTTACCTCCAGCGTAACGTCTGGAGAGGGTCTTAGTTGGGTCTCTCAAATGATCAGCGCTTGTGCAGGACAGTGTTACTTTGACTACATTAACTTGGTGCGTAATTGTATGCGACCCCATTCTGTTTGGCGTTAATTTTCTATTTTTCAGCACTGGTATGGGTGTGTAGCGAGAGTTTCTTTGGTGCATCTCCTCATCTCACTTGAATTTCGAAATGCAGAACAACATTTGCAGAATTCCAAAGCTACGTAGAATCAGCTCATAGTCAATTCCCCGTGAGTCTCCTTTACGCATGTGGTATATATCTCAACAGCAAACACCCAGAATTATCAACTCGTCATCACAGAGTTCGCTCTTCAGAATCCTGCAGGTGGTCAAGCTGCTCAGTAAGCTGCGATGTAGTACCTCTTTTATCATCCGTTCATACTCTTGTGTATCGTGTAGGGTGTCCTTCTTCCAACAGGCGTTCCCTTTCCTTGACGGCGCATCATACATCCAGCTTTACTTCCCCTTCGTCGCAACTTCGCCAGCGCTCTTGCAAGCGAACGGCGGTTCTGCCGCCACAATTGTCGGAACCGGGTCGTGCCTCTACAACAACGACGGGACTCCGTCTGCAGTTGGAAACCTCATGTACTAGTTCTGTTCTACTCATCTTATACGTACTTTGGTGAAAGACGCAGATCACAGGGCATGAAAGGTTTCGCTTACTTCTTTATAGTATTTATTGCTTTATTAGTTCCTAAACCCATTTCTTGTTAAATATATGTATGACCCAGATACATCGCGACTACTTGCATGATCGGCGTTTTGTCATTTCAGCCATATGCAATCTAGTGCTATAGCTAGCAAGTCGCATCCGTGATTCGTCTTCGCTTCTAAATATATATACCGACCAATGCAGAAGTATGCCGGATGCTTCCTGGGACCCGCCCTATTAATGACCAGGTTAATCTTTTGTAGAAGATAAGTTAGGATGTCGATCAATCATGATTCACCTTCATCGACGAGCTTTGGGAACTAGTAGCCCTGGTGGCTTCTAGGAAGTTTGACATTATCCAAGTCCGACCCGAGGATCATCGCGCATGTTCAATTTTAATTAATACTGTGTGGACGGCCGTAAAAGTAGTGGCTCGTCGCTGACTAGGACTCACTAACACGGACCCGGATCCGTCGCTAGCAGTTGCTGTATTAATGAATTTGATGACAGTCAACTCCGCGACATCCTGGTTAGTCAGGGATCATTGTTGTACATACACCAATCGACGGCAAACGAGCCTCGGTTCTATACGATTAATTCTAGTAATCTAGTATCATCTATGGTCTATCAGAACTTCGAAAGTCATGATGATCGTCTACTTGCCATCCAGCTTCTGCTTCTCCCGCTCAACACTGGCTTCTCTCCACTCTCTGCCTTTGTACAACACCAGTAGAATAATACAATCAGCAATGACCAACAGCCCCGCCCAGAGCGTATACAGACCACCGTCACCAATACTATCCTAAATCAACCTCAGATCCGATATTCCACAAGCTATCATGACGTTGACTCACTTGTAGAGGAACAGCAATCTCAGCAGCAACAAAAGCAGACAGACCGCGGAAAGAACTGTTGGTCGCTACTGCCGTTGATGAGCGACCAGTGTTTGCATCGACAATGTATGCCAGCGTGCTCGTGTAGATCCATCTATCGCGGATGAGAGCAAAGGACAGTGTGAAACGAAAGAACATACATGGATAAGAATCCTGCGAGGAAGAGCATCACACATATCGCAGCGACGTTGACCCGTTCTTGGCACACCCAGGCATATCCAATAACAGAAAGAGGTAACCACACCATGGCGACTTTCGTACTCTCGAGGCGCATCTGCACGGATTCATGTCAAACATGGAGACAGAGGTTGAGCTAAAGATAGTGGTCACCTCTGGAAAGCTAACCCCTCCGTTCGCTGCCTTCAGCCGAGCAAGTGTCCGATCGGACCAACGTCCACCTAATATGCTGCCGGTTACAGAGCCTGGAATAGATGCGTCAGGCAGGTGCTCGTTAGTTTGCCTGTGATTCGCTTACCAATACCATAGGCAAGTAAGACGAGGCCGGTCTTCAGAGCATCATAATTATAATACATCGACAATGTTCTTGCGCATGTATATGCAATGCTAAAGCTAAATGCAAAAATTAAACCTAGCGCAATTGGGCATGAGATTTCTTTGAAATGACTTCATTACTGAGGGCATTCACCTGATGGTATCAAAATAACGAAGTTGTTCTTGCGGCTGAGAATCGATATGTATGGAGGAAAAGGGTTGACATCGGCAATAGACAGCTTTACTTCTCTGATAGCTGATGCTGGTATGACCGTTGGCTGTCCTTCGATGTCCTTCGAATTCGTCTGGTTTTCGCCATTCACTCGTAATTCCTTCTCTGAAATGTTTCGCGAGTCGTCCTTTGCTTCTGACGACTGTTGCTCTCGGAGCCTCCTCTTCAATACATTCTGGTACGTCATACTCCTTTCCTTCCGGAAGGTGTCCTTGAACAAGAAAAGAAACGCGGAAAATATTATGCCGCCCCAGATGACTAGGAACCAGAAAATCGCCCGCCAGCCGAGGCCCTGTGTGAGTGCACCACCGATGATTGGCCCCAACGAGGGGCCGAGGAGAGGTGCAGAATAGTAGACACCCATCATTTTTCCTCTTTGATGCGGCTCGTATATGTCGGCCAGAGTGGCAGCTCCGATAGCGATAACAGCGCTTGACCTACTTCATGTCAGTAAGGAATTAAGGGTTTGAAGGATTACCCTACCCTGCGCCTTGCAGAATACGCATACCGATCAACAAACCAATCGTTCTGGATATGGCCACGATTACCGACCCAAGTGTAAACAGTGCTATGGAGAAAAGGTACACTATCTGAGCTCGGCGATATTAACAAATAACACTCAAAACACATAAAAATTCAAACCTTGCGGCCCTTGATCTCGCTGATTGCGCTCCACATGACAGGGAAATTGCCTTGGACGAGAATGAAAAGAGACAAACTCAGGCTGATGTTCTCGCCGTTGGTGTGTAGCTGCTGCTCAATTTGAGCATTGGCAGCTATCCCCTGACTGTTCAGCCGATATTGCAATGGTATTAAGGAAACAACTCACGGTTTTGTATATTCGCACACAAACCTGCGATCATTGATGCTCCAGATATAATGAACAATACAACGTTCTGTACGATGTGTTCTATCAGCCTCTAGTTACACAATCAAGAGGGAAGGACGCGCCTTCTTCGCGTTCGACCACATTCGAGGATCATCCTCAACTACTGCATGTTCTATATCAAGCTTGATAGGTTCATTTGCCAACGTTGAACTGGAAACATGCGTTTGGATATTTGTTTCCCGGAATTCCACACTCTGGACCTCTGTAGATGACAGAGTCGTACTCTGGCTTTCTATCATAGTGTAAAAGGTTGTCCGATGCGGGAGCTGAAGTTCGAGATTGTATGTGAGTGCATGGTTATATAGGTGGTTCAGCAATGAAGCGCGCCACAAAAGCGCACATGCCTTTGTTGGTGCCGATGATCAAAATATCCTCAACTATAATGCTAGTGTGTCGGACAACATGGCCGATCGAGTGGCATGCCATAGAACTTTGTCTTCGTTCCGGCTATCAAATAGCCACTATGAGGAAGGCCCCCGAACGACCAGTTTGAGGGTTACATTCCGAATCGCAATCATCCAGAATTTCTGCTTGCCACGGAATATCGGGTGCCCGGCCACTGAGAGATGGAGTCGAACTAATAATAGGAAGAGAGTACTGTCCAAGTCATGAGTCCACCCTGTTATCCGTCCGTATAGAACGCACATTCTGTTATTAACTTACTAAGTGTGCAGCAGTCTCACAAATAAGATGACATATTCTGACCTTCGTGATATGTTCCGAGCAGGAGAAGGAACGACCCACATTCCTTCGTCTATAAATGAGAGGGAGAAACTTGAAACGGCTTCGGCACTAGTCGGAAGTGTGAGTCAGCTGTCATCACAGCTTAGAGTGTAGGCCTGGAAGAATATTGGCTGGGACACTTGCAATGGTGCTTAGAGGTTATAAGAATTAATCGCAGATGGACCGGCCAAGATGCAGTAGCATACGTATATTACAAGTTGAACTCAGTTTGATTGCTCGAACGTAAACACAGGGCTAAATACGGTCGTCTTCATTTCCGGATCCGAACTCCGACAGATTATCAACTTGATTTCTTTTGACTTTTTAACAAGAGATTGAGGATGAGGCCTTCTGCTGTGCGGTTGCTCAACATACTAGTCCCTATAAAGAGGTACGCACGAATTATAACTGCATGCTTCCAGCTCTCAACATGCGCTTGGAAGGGCGGTAGACTATGCCGTGAAGATTCGTGTGAATCCCGAGCAGACAGGCATCGACCTCAATGTCAAACATTCCATGGTATGGCAAATTCACAATTCGTAAGCAAGTCTGCTCACACGAGTCATCACAGAATCCATTTGATGAGATTGGTACGTTTTCCGTTAGTATTCTGTGCGCACACTTATCTGACCGTGTGGTATAGCCGTGGAGGAAGCCGTTCGGATGCGGGAACGCCTAAAGGATGCAGTGAAATCTATCAAGGTTGTCACCATCGGTCCACCCAAGTCTGCAGAGACGCTCCGCACCGCACTCGCCATGGGTGCCGACTCTGCCATCCATGTCGAAATCCCGGAATCTGCTCCGTCCCCAGAACCTCTTGGTGTCGCGAAAACTTTGAAGGCTCTCATCGAACGACAGAAGGAGGGTGTGGACGTAGTAATTTTAGGCAAGCAAGCCATTGACGATGATGCTGGACAAACTGGACAAATGCTCGCTGGCCTCATGGGGTGGTCACAGGCAACATTTGCGAGCAAGGTCGAGGTGAACCCAGAGCAAAAGGTTGCGAACATCACTCGTGAGATAGATGGAGGTCTTGAGGAGCTTAGGTGCAAGCTTCCTGTCATTATAACGACAGATCTTCGGCAAGTCCAACTGTGTGTATCCACGAATGTGTTATTGACTGACGAACGCTCTCAAATCCAGGCTTAATGGTGCGTTTCATTCACAATGTCAATGTTTCATCACTCTCAGTTAATCACCGCATATGCCAAGAACCCCGGTATGCCTCATTGCCCAACATCATGAAGGCCAAGAAGAAACCTGTGGAGAAGTTGACGGCTGCGGAACTTGGAGTTGACATCACGCCTAGACTAGAGACCATCAAAGTCACAGAACCTCCAAAGCGTGTTGGTGGCGGCAAGGTGATCCTCTATTTTTCATAGTATATTCCAGTATTTACAATGACAAACAGGTGGCAAATGTGGACGAGCTTCTCGCCAAACTCAAAGAGGCTGGCATTACTGGAAAGCGTGCATAGCAGTCGCCTCAGTGTTCCTCTACATAGCTGTATGAGGATAGCCCACAGGTACCGTGATCTTTTCAGTGATAAATGATCATTTCTATGTGCCATACAGTACAAGTGGCAGCGGGCTATTTGGATAAGTTGTGTTGGACGATGATACTCAGTAGCATTATAATAACCTGAAGAAAGAATAGCGATGAAGAGATGAAATTGCTACACGAATCGCAAGACAGATCGGATGCAAAGGTTTGTTACATGGAAAGATGATGCAAGGCAAAATAATACTTAATCAAGGATACACACCCTCATGCAGCCGATGGCTGGGGTGCTAAGGTTGAACTCGAAGCGGACGGTTCAGCGGAGGGGCTGGTATCGTTGTCGACGCCCTGAAATAGCTTATGAAAAACTGATTGCTGGCTGCTAAATGGACGTACCTTCGTACGGCAGGCAGGACAATTGTTCCTTCCTGTCTGGAGCCACTTATCCACACAGCCTTGGTGGAATGCATGTTTACAGCTTAAGACACGTAGGTCATCGTCCGGCACATAGTCATCAAGACATATGAGACACTGCACGCAAGGTAAGCAAGTTTGAAGAAAATGATAAAGGCGTGATTCCATACCCGGTCGACACAGTTAGTAGCGACACGTCCGTCCTTCGCATACTCCTCAAGTGAATTTGCCTTGATCACTTCCAGTCCAGACTTGTCAATCTCCTCCTTCGAGGCAGTGGGTGGTTTCACTTGACCGAGCAACTCGGCTAGTTCCCTGCATGAAAGTGAGCAAAGCACAATATCACACCCATGGCGCGTGCGTACCACAATGCCTCGAATGAATCCAAGTTCCCGCCTGTGATGATTTGGTGATCGGGTGGGTAGTAGCCTGAAAATAACTGTCCACATTTGAAAACAGGGAAAAAAGGGCGAACTCACCACCAATGACATAAATGAGGAACGTCCTGGACCCTGGAGGCTCTGACGTTGTCTGTCTTGCCACAGCGGCCCTGCGACCAGGACGTAAATTCCTGATGGCATCGGCTGCACGAGATTGCCAAGAGCGACCGCGAGATGGTCGTGTACTCTCGGGTGGAAATTCTGATAGAGCAGTAGGGATTGGGGTTGGTGGAGACATCCCAGTTTCACTGCCAAATTCTAAATCCATCATATCTCCTTCGGTAGAGCGCTCGTCTGCGAAATCGGGTGGCTGATGATGGACATGAGGATGAAGGTGATGAGGAGGATGTGGAGGCATAGGTGATTGGCGTTCTGCGTGCACTGATTGCAACCCCACGACGATGACAGGAATGACGACATTACGTTGTTCATTACCATTACCCGGCTGTACTCCAGCGGTCAGGTCGGCGTCTGGTGTTGCGTGCGTAGTATCCGGCATCTCTGAAGGAATAAAGGAAGGAGAAGACGAAGCAGCTGGTGGACTACCCGCATTTTGTACCCCATCGCCATCCGCGTGTGGTAGTGGTTGTGGGGCAGATCCTTGCTGTACAATCGTGGGGGCTTGTGTACTGCGACTTGCTGGCGCGGTGATAGCAGGGAAACGGTACAATCGCCACCAGTTGATAGGCGTATGCTCAGTGCGCGACGTAGAACCAGGTGAGATACGTGGAATTCTGAATGGCATGTCTGTTTCGGCAGACTCTTGTGTAGTAGTGGAGGACTCAGTGAAAGGACTCACACCTGGGGGACCAGATGAAAGAGGTGATAAGAAAGGTTCTGTTGGGGACCCCGACAAACCAGATGCAGCATCCTGAGACCCTGTGTCTATACCCGCCTCTCCAGAAAGGGTGTCAGCGTGGGCACTGCGAGGCAAGGTTGCTGTGGCATCGTGGACCTGGGCGTTATCACTTTCCAAATCCGGATCATCGCTATGTCCTAGACTGTCATTGTTCGTGCCTGGGCTCTCCCGGGCAGTGTGGGCATCCGATATAGTAGACGCCTCATCAGAAACGCTTTGAAGTTCAGGCATGTTATCATCGATGTCGGATGCGGCGGTGTCGTAAGACTCGTTGTCACTCGTGCCATCCGGCACGTCTTCAGTCTCATGGCGTGCACCTTCATGGCTATCTTCATCGCCCACACCTCCATCATTGCCCTCGCGGTCGGCGTCAACAGGGGTACTGTCTTGCGCAAGCGCAACCCTTAGATCTGATTGAAGATCGATAAGGAAACGCTCAAAGCTGCCAGGCGGGGGCATTACAGGAACGTCACTGGTCTCACCTCCATCAGCAGAGGGTGGCTCAGCTATGGGCGCCGCGGGTCCGTTAGCATTGGTCGCATCAGGGACCACAGGCGGTCTTCCTAGACCAAGACCCAAATTGAAGGCCCGAGCCATCTCCGTAAGCAGAAGCTCGCGCGCATCGCGAGGACTGGGTCTACCCGTGCCCTCATCAACACCGGGCGTTCCCATTCCAGGTGTGCGTAGACCAAGACGATCACGTAAGCTGCTCCAGACATGACGCATCCGCCCAGCGTCACCTGTTGGTGTAGGTGATAGAGGCCGATCTGACACACTTTGAGGAGGCTGATTTGGTGACTGAGATAAGGGCGCAAGTCCAGAAGAAAAAATAGGCTCGGAAGTCCCTGTGAGGAGAGAAGCAGCTGTTGCAGCTGCTGCGACACTGCGATTAAAAATAAGTCAGCATCGTTGTACGCAATGCATACGAATCAGTCAAAGAGTATGATGGGGTGGAGTATAATGTAGGCAAGTTGTGGGGTGAATATAATGCATACCTAAGCAACGTTCCCAATACATCAATGCTACTGGGCGAAAGTGAGCCGGTGTTGGCACTAGATGTTTCAGAGGTTGGTGGACCAGTTTCTGCATTAGGGCCCATTCCCGCAGGGAGAGATGCCGTACTTGACTGCGAGTCAACAGGCAACTGTTGTGGAGAATCAGCAGCAGCACCACCTTCTGACACGAGCGGTACGGATGGCAGCATGCTGGAAGGGCGGGGTAGGATTCCAGACAACCGATTGCGCATGCGATCACCGGGGGTAGAGGACGATCGTTGGCGTGCAACGGACAATGGCCTGACAATTCCCGGTGGCTCCAGATTGGCATCATTCGCGGGACTCGTATTGTTTGAGTTGATGTTGTTGGCGGTATTTAACTCCGAAGCGCGGGATACGTCAGTGGTATGTACGACACCTTGCACAACAACAAGTGTTCCCGCAGGTGGAAATTGGCGACCTGGGGGCTGTGTAGTTGTGCCTACGTGGGACTGAGGTCCAGCGGGAGTAATCGGAGGCATGAACGGTGGGCCTTCGCTCTGATTTACGGTTGGGACATGTACTTGAGGAGATGGATCAATCAACTCTGTATTTGGAGCAATGACGACTTCATCCTCGTCGTTCTCCGAGCAATGACGAGAAATTGAGGGAATGGGTTGGAACGAGATATCAGATGCCGGTTCAACCAATCGTCCACCCGAAGTAGTTGGGACCACCTCTTCTAATGGTGGACTGAGGGATGTTGATGCTTCTGCAGCTGATGGGAAGTCATTCACAGCTTCGTCATCTCTCGACTTGCCCTTATCGCTTTCTACATCCGCAATGAGGTCTTGAGATCCGTTCTGTTCGTCTTGAGGTTCCGCAACCTCACCAACAGCGATGTTATTGACTGTAGGAGATTTAGAGACGCGTCGTGAAAGCCGCCACTTTTTGCGCTGCGAGGACTGAGTAGCCGAACTGTCTGTCCGGGTGCGTGGAGTTGAGAGCGATGAAAGAAGGCGGTGCGGCAAGGATGCACGACGACTACGTTTTGTTTCTGTGATGTCTGCAATTTGAGGCCCTGACACAGAAGATGACGATGAAGGGGTGGGAACGGAAGTTGGAGGTTCGGACGATGACTGCGATTCAGAGGATGGTGGATTAGATCTCGCTTGTGAAATGCCATTGCGACGAATCTGCACCCTGGAGGGAGTTTGACCCATTGTACTGGTTCGACTTCAGCAAGAATACAAAGGAGCGGGAGTAGGAAATTGGCGGTATACAGCTAGTCTCAGAAGAAGTGCGAGAAAGCCAAGTTGGATGGCAGCGTTGTTACTGTTATGAGAACAAGAATGAAACAAAGGATAAGACTAAGTTACAGTAGAAGTTTGTTTTGTACAGAGCTCGACGTTGTTTGCAGTGTCTCGTCTACGGCAAAGACGACGACGACGACGAAGTGGTGGTAAACGGCAGTGATGAGTAAGCTCAAACGCACGCCAACTCGTGTGCGATTCGGTCATTGCCGCCACAGTACTCTTTTTTTGGATTCGCTGTGTCCTCGGGTTGTCCTCCGGGCATATATACCTCAGGCTGTATGCAGTCTCGTCCCTTTATTTAATCCGATTCATAATATTAATCGATGGCTCATGGCATGGATCATCGATCACCAGCCATGTTCGAGTATTATCTTCGTTCCTATCCCGTCCTCGCCTGCACTACTATTAGGTCAGCAGTGGAGTCGACGTGGTGGATTCAGGCACCAGCGCTTCTAACAACGAAACAGCAGCCATATACTAAGCTAAAAGCCGGGGGAAAGTCACTCCCTGACTCCTTCTCTCGCCATAATCCTCATCCTTATCCACGCCCGCACCTTTCTGTCATCTTTCCCGTTGTCTCTTATGGGTTTCCTGGCGAGCTGTGTACCCTTGCAGGTTTTGTAGGTTTCGTTAAGCTCATCCTAGCATATAAGAGTCTAGAGATGTCTTGTTGCCTTCCGCACACACTCGTCCTCCGAGGCACAATACCATGATGAACATGTCCTGACACGTTATGGTCATATCTCCCAAAGTCTGCGTTTGTTCAAAGTCCCGATACAACATCTCGTTGTCCACTGTGCTTCTCAATCTGTGAGGACAATAGCTGCTCTTCTTATAATCGTCGTGATTTTCTTCACAGTCATGGTAACCCAAACAGAATGGTTTTTGAACTCTCCTTGCATATTTCATCAGCACATCCACTGTACGAAGATTAGCTTGGCTTCGAGATACGGTTGCGGATTGATGAAGCTCATGCTCCCAGCTGTCCACCACAGGTACAGCACATGATGGATCGTGCGGTGATATAGTTCATTACGGCTGTAATGTGGAATTGCAGGATGAGCGCAATTGCGTGTGAGTGGACATGAACATCAAGTAGGTGTAAACAGTCGACTTGCAAACAAAAGAAGAGAAACAACTAAATAAATTTAAGGTCTGTTAGACTATAGATTATTTCATGTTGCGCGACAAATTGTCTGCCTAATCACCCAACCTATCCTGCACTTCGTAAATTCAGGCCGGAGAACCGCGGGTCTCAACTGCAGGTAGTGTCTAATCATTGATTAATGATTAATGGTTCAAGTTGGCAAACCTCTATAGCGCAAAAGCCAAAAGAGGTCGTCGGGACCGGTAATCAAGTGGAGCCATCATGATCCTTCATGATCGTGTTGACGGACATTAATTTACCCCCTCTTTCAGGCTACAGGAACTGCCACCTATCATACCCGTTCCTGCTTAGCTTTCTGCGAAGCTGTGCGTCTTGTGCGAAGTACAGCATTAATTAATGGGATATTATATCTACAGGAGAGATAATATATATGAGAGATACAAAATAAATGCGGCATGCTCAAGAGCCTGGCATGGTCCGCGCATTAGTTCCACATCAGCCAATCACCCCTGCAGCCATAGTGCTGCAGGACGCCCATCATTTCATTCCAGGATTAACATGCTGTATAGAGCTACCTCCTGTCTTCCTCTTTCTACCAAGATGATGTTCACGCACGTGCCGGACAAAATTGTCCTTCATTAATGCATTGCCGCTGCAAGAGCCTTCGTAACACCTGACCTTTAATCTGCCACCGTCTTGGAATATCTCGTGGTCGGTCTGTGCGATGGCACCGGACCTGAAATAAACCCTATCGCTGGGTGTAGACTGGCGAGTCGATCTGCTAGATTGGACGCTCGTCGAAGGTGAACTGTAGTTCGAAACAAAATGATCCCTTCCCATCTGGGCGTGCGTAGGCTTTGGGTCTGGGATAAAATACAGTGTAAGCGATAGAAAAGGTGATGATAGTGCCAGTGACCTGGAGTGTCCCATTGTCCAATGCATATTTGAATTGCTTGGTCAAGAGTCATGTCCATCCCAAATTTCAGGCGCAACTGGTGGAGATAGTTTGCAACAAAGAGAGCTGATTCATCTGGTAACGAAGCACGCATGGTACTGCTGTAATGATGCGAATGGTCATTCGACAGGCTATGATTTCATTAACAGAATGCTTCCGAAAGGGATAAAATATGGACTACCAATCAGAGTCAGGACATGGATGTTCCTCCAACGAATTTAGAGGGTGACGGTTGTTATCATAGCTGAGGCCACATGGTAGGGATGAAAATAAGTATTGGTCTTGGAGAAAACAAGCAACTTGAAGCATACCTTGGTGGAGATGTGGAATCATGATAACTCATGCCGAAGTGGTTCAACGAGCCTGGGCCCACGATATCGGAGTCCGTGAACTCAGGGAATGGCCCGGAGGAGTCGATAAGGCATGCTTGTCTGCATCCAGGCATTGGAAACTCTGCTGCGAATGGAGTACTACGAGCTTCCATTATTGGAGGTGAGAGCAGTTAATTTCGTTAGTTTTTTTTCGTACACACGGTTCTTTATACGTTGAATATACTGTTGCGGTCCAAAATCATTCCCTCTAAACCGTATGTGATCCGGGATAGAATACGACCAACTCTCTGATCCGCAAACCATGGCAGGGTGCTGCGCCCTATCGGTGTGCAGATTATCATAGCAGACCCAGAGATGACATCAAGGGGGGATTGGTATCTGTCACGGGCCACAGCTCCGATTCTGGCAGAGGCACGTTGACCGTGCTTGGGAAAAAAAGCCATTTCAGCGGCTACAAAATGGATCACATACCGCGTCATGCTGCCTCACCGCCACCTAACTTAAAATCGGGTGGATATCTTTATGGGCGGCGAACAGGGGGTGCCTTGACAAGCTTCAATTTGTATATCTCAAAAATCCAGTGAAGTTGCTGTAGGGATCCTGTTAAATCACTGGCAAGAGACCATACTACAACTCAAGACTCACCACGACCCTAAAAGGTTGCACATCCTGGGAAGTGGATAACTCGAGGGATCGTTATCTCTGATACCAATCCAAAGTTCGCGCCGCGCTCTGAGCCTATGGGTTTTTGTCCCCGAGGTTAGCGGGCACTCATCAAATTCAGGGTTGCAGGTTGTGAAGTTACCATTTCACTGCCTTGTGATTTGGCAACAATCCGAAAGGCAGTTAGATAATAGATGACACGATTGACATGATTGGCATGCCAGTCACACTAGCCTCTCTGGACCTTGTTCATACGATGGTGTTTTTGAATTTCCAGAATAAAGGATCACTCACACGTACCACTGAGTTTCTCGTAGTAGGGTCATCGAAAACATTCCTTCACAGCTATATCGATAATTTCTGAGTGATTTTGTGGGACCAAACATGACTTACTACATGGCTAGAGCACCTGGGGCGCGTGTCACAACGGACAAAGGGATAAATCCGCTCGTGAAAAGGTCAAACATATCGACCAATTAGACTTGTGTAAAACAATCCAAACTCAATTCAGTACTTCAGTCCTGGCCTGAATGGTTGAAACGAACTTATCTGATTCGTCATTGCATGAATCAGGAATTTGAAGCGGCTGTACTAGTAATCTCGATGGAGCGATCCATAAATGTAGACCGAGCTTAGCGCTTAGACTTTGTTTAGCCTGCCAGCCTTCTACATAGTGTCTTCATATGGACAGACCAGAATTATTGAAGACTGAACTTGAAAGCTTAGCGCTTAGCGTGAACCCCATTTGGCGAGTAATTAAAGCGTGGTGGCACGAAGAAAGTTTGATACAGCTATCGGCGGTCCCTTGGGTTCAACGTTCAACGTTCAGCGCATGTACAACCACGGTGGCAGTGCTATGCCAGACCATTCAAACTAACATATAAAGTAAGTTGGCTGCGCTACACTCGAATATAGGAGCCATACCCTATAAACTACGTATTTTTAGCACACTGGAAACTGGTACTACCTGCTGTACGTTGTTAGAGGAACAAGGGTATATACATTGTGCCAAGACGTGTTGATGTTAGTTTCCCCGAAATAAAAAAGCCCATAAGAGGGCTTCAAGGCCTTGTGTTCGGATACCTGTGTCAGGACTCTATGTCCTTACGCACCAACCTAGTATGCGTAGTCCGCCGAAGAACTTCACTACACCGAGACACGCGGATACAACTTCTAGTTTCCTTGTACGGCAATTACTTGCGCCACGTCACCCCCCTCTGTCCATACCGCCTTTCATGCATCCATGTTAGAACTCGACTTTCTCTTTCCTTATGGTCCACGTATATATGCAGCCATGCACGCCAATATAACTAGGATAATATCATACGAATCATACAGCTGTCCGTCTAAATTTGGAGTCCTAGAAAGCTTTCTTGTAACTTGTTTTTGTCGTTTCAGCGCCGTCAGAACGCGCTTGTTTTACTCCTCGGAGTCCGGCCCGTTTGCAATTCCCTTTTGAACTCAACACCAGCCTGGGTTTACAAGACATTGCGATACGGGCTATGAATGGCGTGATACATCAGTCACAGGTTTCCTAGCTTTATTATATTTCCTGTTCACTCTTTCACTACTCTTACTATGGCCCTGAGATTGAGCCATTTGCAGATCGATCTGTCCACGATCGAGATTAAGCTGAAACGCGTTCCGGTCAAAGGAGGGGCATTGATGGAAGGACCGCATAGGCGGCGCCACTACTAGTGCCTATTAATCGCGGCCGCCGGCAGACATTAAGTTGAGGGGGGTAGTGCGAGGAAAATCACTTCCTACTCTCATGCCCAGCCTACACTAGACAACGCAACACCCTCCGCATAGAGCTGGGCACGAAAGCGCACCACTTGAAACATATCCTCAACGTCTGAAACCCCTGTTCAAGTACATCGCAAGCACAAGAAGATTCGAAACGGTGTTTGGAGACGTCTAGAGAAGAACAAACAAAGAGCATAGACGACGAAGGCCTTGAAACACACACCCTTGTGCCCACTATTCCTATCACCTTCAGTTGGTGTTAACGTCCCCGCTCCGGCCAGGACCACTGAACGAGACCCAGCATTCGAGACGAGATAAATCTTACATACAGCACATACAGCACATTTTGTCTATCATAGGGCATCGCCCCAACGGACAATAAACAAGGATTAAAAGTTGAGGAACGAACTCCAACGGCCTTATAATGAATTCCGTATAGCAGTACGGAGGACAGCTTGATGGTATCCATAATTCCGCAAGCCCTTGCGCTTGGCAGTCTTCTCCAATGGGCGCATAATCGCGCGCTGATGCCACCAGTAACCTTGCCACTCCAGAAAAGTTGATACTTGCCTCACAGCGGCTAGTGTCTCTCTCGGACACAAGCTAGATCCACGAGATTGTCCCGGTTCCCAGAGTGTGGCGCCTGCAAAATCGCCCATCGGTCGAATGTCCTCAAGTTTGAGAGAGGAAGCATTCCCTCCTATTCAAATGACAGCTTAGCGGTTCCAGCGCTCGACGTGCACATGTATATTTTTTCACCGCTATATCTTTCTTCGTTTTGACGGGTACAATTAAATAAATTCTGGGCACAGATGGCCCCGAAAGTTAATGTCCCTGGATTTGTACATGTGTGAGCGTAGATGAAGATGGGTGCGGAGTTCATTGAGGAAGTCCGTGAGCCTGCACCCACCGACTCATCTCCCACGAGGGGAAGCATTTCCTCCTAGCCCATCATATTCAAACGACAACGTAGTGGTTCCAGTGCTCGACGTGCACGCTTATCTTTCTTCGTTTCGACGTGTGCAATCATATTTCGAGTCTGGGCGCAGGCGGGTCCCTAGACTCATACATGTGCGGGTGGAGATGAGCGGAGCTCATTGAGGGAGTTCCACCGAATCTCCCCATCAAATCGCCGATAGAGCCGAACTAGGAATGGAGGATATAAGTGGAAAATTTAAAATAGCGAACACGATCCGACGAAAGAGGGCTCGTCGAGTCGCGTATGTAGATCACATCAGGCAAGTGCACGGAGACAACTCGAGCTAGACTGTGCCCGAATAGTACTGAGAAGACACAGGACTCCGAGTCAGTCCGAATTGTACATATTTGTTTTTGATTGTTTCGTACGTTCTCCTCGCCTGCCGTCATTAAACTATATGATAAACCACTCAGCTCTACATCATCGCGTTTAACTTATCATAGCTGCCGCCTTCGTCGCCTCCAGCTTTGTCATCGACTTCGCCTTTGCTAGTGCCTCCCGTTTCGCCGGTCGTGTCTTCCTGTGTTTTACCCCAGTTCTTTGGTTTTTTCGAGACTTTCAAGTTGGAGAACAGTTTGTGATCAGTATCTCCTTGCCCGTTACTGCTGCTACTTTACAGCACGTCATGGAGAATTTTCCTTACATGACTCGTGACAATTATGCTCCTACTACATATCGCCCGCGCACATTCCATTCGCGTTCAGACATCCGATCAGAAGGACTACTTACGTGACATGTTACGAGTGCATGCATGTGATGTTGAGTGTATCAATCATCTAATTGTGTTCGTGCTTCTAAAGATGCCGCAGCAACATTTCGCCCATCAGATTATGTCTTATCCGTTTTCTAATATCAATTCTTTTCGTGATTGCTATGCTGCTTCACAGCGCTTGAGCCATAGTCGGGCCAGTCAGTCCGACCATCTCTCGGTGAGGGACAGTGTCACAAACCAAACCGACGCCGAGGTTGTGAAGGTAATGCTGGTCGCAATGATCAGAATGGTCCCTTTCCGGTCTTGCTATCATTCGATGATAAGAATGGTATCATGATTGAATGACAACAGCGGATGACTCGGAGCCTGGAGTCATTGAGACGCAGCCTGCATGTGCTCGGAATGTTCCAGCTGAGGAATCGGTGTTGTTGATGTCCAAAGGTACCGTTCGTTGTATTTACTTCGCAATGACTTAGCACGAGAACACTCTGCCATGCACATATGCTTTTGATTTGTATGACTGAGCCTGTATCCCAAGGGTTTACAAGATCCATGATATAAACAGATCTATATTCATGTTGATCCCGTCGGTCAGCCTTAGTATCCAAGTCGCCATGATATCCGGTCAATTCTTTGTCCAACTTTCAATATTACGGCCACGAGAGGCTTCCACCGTTAATCCGTGCAGCTTTTTCGGAAGGCTCAGTTTACGATCTGATGTTGGTGTCGAGCTCGCGCATCCCAGATCTATTACTCATCATTATGCATATAAACCATTGTTTGGACAGAACTGAAAGGCTCCTCAGTGATACAACCAAAAAAAATCGCGGTAAGAGCGCAGCATTCCCCGAATTATTACCGCCTAATCCTGTCGAATTGCATGACACCGTGTGCGTCATTTTTGCCGGTTCCAAGTAAGTACCCACAAGGGATACGTTTAAATTGATTCGACCCGTATTAGTCACTAGAAGCAGGGTTGTAACAGCTCGTCATTTTTTTGCTGATAAATAATCCGTGGTATCAACATAGTGGCGTATCACATAGTCAAGAACACATGGATTCTTTGTCTAATGCGGCTGTGACGTGGACTGCGGCGTCCCTCGTGCATTGAAGATATGCCATTTTCCTGGCGATGCATGTACTTACGAGACAAATTCATTTGAGTATCGAAAGCGGCGAATGAGTTGCGCCCTCCCAGAACGGGTTTTTGAATGGAGACAAAAAAAACGAAGGAAATACCGGGACGTGGGACCCTTGCCCGGAGGGCGTGACGAATGATTCTTTGCCGTTTCAGGACCACTCGCATCAATCTTATCGTGTGGTATCTGTGCGGGCTCAGTCGTCCAGTGCCGTTCAATACTACCGCTCTTGCACTTCACGGATCCCTGGTATACTTTCGCATACTTACCTTGTTTCCGTAGGCACCAGTGGCTGGTTTTGACACTTTGTGATGAGCCGAATCTCGACACTAGCGCTTGTCAAAGGACAGTGCCTCCTTATGTTTCAACATCAACGTCACGACGGTCAAATCCGAAAATCAGTTGACACTTCGTTGTTATGGGTGGAATTTGCATTAGTTATCCATCGCATTGTAACTCCTGTTCGACGCGTGAGTAGCCGCTTAGACAAGTGAACGAGGAA